GTGCTTCCCGTCATACACTGATTGTACTACAACACAGATATTCCCTAGAATGACAACAATAGCTGTACCAAGTTTCATCACACTTGGATGATTTTTTTACAAACAGAGTACACAAACATTTATCATTAAAACAACGCTTTCAATTTAATCTCATGTTTATTATTCTCATTTTATTATTTCTGACGTTTTGAATACCTTAGAGTTTTCATAGTCATGAGCAACTAACACTGTTGTATGTTCAGATTACGTTGAGGTCACCAGTTCGGGAGTAAAAACAAAAGGAAAATCATCCACTGAACTGGAGAAAATGTTCGATAGACCGACAATCCAAATGTTGTTGTTCAGAAATATAATAAATATTATAAAGAGGAAAGATTTGTTTGTTTGTTTGTATTGAACAGGCTCCGAAACTACTGAACCGATTTGAAAATTCTTTCACTGTTTGGAAGCTACGCTATTCCCGAGTGACATAGGATATAATCTTTTTTGAAAAAAATTAGGGATCCTTACTAAAACTCCAATAATGTAACCCAAGGTGTAAAAAAATTATCTAAAATATTCTTTACATCGCGTGACCTGCGAAAACTATTGATGATAGAATAAAATAATGTACTACGACTTTGTTGGACACATTATTATTTACAAAAAGTGTCGCGACAGCATATCTCTAACTATTACAGTTATGCCGCAAAAAGTGTTCTTTTATTTAAAAAAATAAAACTACTTCAAGTATCGTTGAATTTTTCGTTAAAGATCCGAGCGGAGCCGGAGCGGTCCGCTAGTTCAGAAATATATATTTATTACTGGTGTGGACGAGCTCACAGCCCACCTTGTGTTAAGTATTCACTGGAGGCCATAGAAATCGTTCATGGCAGAAATAGGCAGGGTACCCATGCATTGTCAAAATATGCGATGCCACCAGTATAATCTCTTGAAAATATCATTGCAGGGATAAAGCATCTGTAAAATATAGATATTTGACAGGTACCTAATGTACACTAGTGTACTGTGAAAGATATCTATACCTATTCATTAATATTTGAATATTCCACTATCACCTATTCTTACTAAAAATACTTCATGTTTCTTTTCACACACTAAAACCCCTGAAGGTCTGATAATTTGTTTGACTCCATTTACCCAAGGGTTAGAACAGCCGCAACCATCACCTGCGGTAAAATTATATGGTAGAAATTCTAAAGGTTGTTTCACTGTGATGGGCTTAAAGGTACTTTGAGGCGACGACAACAGGGATTGTCTGGTTGTTTTTGCTTAACAAATGGTTCATATGCTGAAATTCTCTCCTCAGACGTTGAGTGTTACTTTCATTGAGCTCTCTTTAGCTCAAAGAAAGTTTAGCTCTCTAAACGTTTATTGATAGGATTCACCAATTCAATATTTATTAGTATGTGTTGATTTCCTATAAAAAGTATGACTAATGATGTTATTAGAATTCCTTAATGTACCTAAAAAGGTAATTAATTGATCATTAGGAATTCCATGATGTAGATTTAATTATGAACAGAATTCAAATGCTTTAAAAAGATATTAACTTTGTCTTTATGTAATAATGTAAAAGTTTCTTTTGCATATTTTTATAATTTGTATATCCGTGGTTGAAGAAGGGGAGATTTTAATATCTTATGTTCTAGTTATTCTATGAAAATGTCAACTACTACAAGGGATCCCATGACTACACCATCACCTTCCGTGTAGAATTTATCATTCATTTAGTTTAATAATTGTATTCTATTGTAGCAAATTGATTGCAGCAGTGACTACAGTAACGGTCCCTTGTTTATTATTAATTAGTTATATCTTTCTAATTAATAATAATTTAATTATATCTAAGTTAAAGAAACAGCTAGAAAGCTAGAAAGAAAGAAATAACTATTAGTATCTCAAGATACTAATAGTTATTTTTGTGTGAGAAGAAGCATGAAAGTAAAAAATAAATAAATAAAAAAAATTCTACGGTATTTAGCACAATATTCAAACCCGTTGAGTCTCTCACCGGATCTTCTGCGTGGCTCGTAATTCTGATCCGGGGAAAGATTTATTAAATCATTGCTTTTGCTAGAACAAGCTTTTGCTTTTGCCTCGCCCACGAGTCAGAGTGAAGCCAGAAAATCCCCTCGAGGCTACAGGCAGACACGTAATGACAAATAAAACTGTACCTAATCGTCCGTGATTTATTTATTTATTTAGTTGAACCAACAAAGTGATCATCAATAAAAAACATTGACAAATTTGACATTAAGTACATGACTTCATTTTGTTTTCCTACCTATGATAATAGCCTCGAGAGGCTATTACAGCTTCTCCTTGACGTGTAGGTGAGCTCACGGGGCTCTAACCGGGAGTGTTGCTAACACTGGCCCTAGCAAGAGCAGTGCTATGCAGAACCTACCACCGAGTCGGAAACGCGACCCACTGAGAAGATCTAGCGAGAAACTCAGTGGGCTGTGTCTATGAGTTAATTCGCTCGTCGAGCCCTTCGACGCAAGCGATGGGTTCGACGAGGACGGCGACGGTGCTTGTGGTACCTAAAAACACCGTTAATAGATCGGGAGGATTGACGTACGACGTGACGAGGACTGTTCCGTAATGACGTGTTTAGGGCGACGTCGACAGTACCTACATGACAGATGTCACTTCAAATATGGTGCAATCGACAGTGCATTGGAGTCGACAGACTCGACAGTGCATTAAGCATTTGGAACAGCGCCCCTAGCGGCAAATGTAGGCAAACTTTCCAACTCCATACAAATTTAAGTTAACTTTACGCTATAGAGAACGTTAAAAAAACTCGCACTAAGCACACTAAACACCTACCTTTGTAGTAATGGGCAGAGCGGTTCTTCCTAAACACGCGGGCTGGTGACTTATCACCAAGCTTCGCACAAACCCGCCGGGGGGTTTGGAATTACGAGACAGATACCTACACATGTCAAAATAAACCATTTGCATAACCTATTATTTACTTCATAAGCAGTAGAAGTAGGAGCAAAAGGTTAATAGCAAAATCTTTAAACAGCTTCCTTAAGATCTTGCCCGGTCAGAAACTGTCGTAGGCTTTAAGCAGGAACGAATAACTAACGTACTAACTGGAAGGTAGGAAAATTTTCAACAAATTTCGTAAAAGTGTAAAAATAAAATCAGAACTCGAATGTAATAAAAGTGAGATCCACCAGCGTCAGAAAATTAAAAAGACGTTGGAACATACTGAAAATACACTCTACCACCGGTGAATACGCCTTAAAGTTGTGTGGACTTGATTTATATCACACGACGTGGAGAATGCTAGTGAACAAGTGTCAGGAGCCTGCGGATTTAGAGCACCGGTATAGTCCACTCATTTGATACGTAGTAATAGTAAATAATGATGCGTACATACATCTATCTGTGTGGTGTCCGGTGGTAGGACGTCTTGTGAGTCTGCCCAGGTAGCCGCCCCGCTATTTCTGCCGTGAAGCAGTAATGCGTTTCGGTTTGAAGGGTGCGGCAGGCGTTGTAACTATACTGAGATCTTAGAACTTATATCTCAAGGTGGGTGGCGCATTTACGTTGTAGATGTCTATGGGCTCCAGTACCAATTAACACCAGGTGGGCTGTGAGCTCGTCCACCCATCCAAGCAATAAAAAAAAAGGCAATGAACATGAAGGTAACACGTTAGCCCGCCTGAATGAACCCTGCACTTGTCTATACATATAAATAAAATTGGAGTGTCTGTTTGTAATATTGAAATAACTGTTTTTTACTACATGCATATGAATATACATACACCAAAATAACATTTTTTACAATTTTTGCCTGTCTGTCTGTTTGTTCCGGCTAATCTCTGGAACCGCTGGACCGATTTTGACGGGACTTTCACCGATAGGTAGCTGATGATATAAGGAGTAACTTAGGCGACTTTTTTTAGACTAGCTTCACCCCGCGGCGTCACCCGCGGTACGATAATAACCGCGGCTAGCATCGCAGGACTCAGCTATCAATAATAAAATTTAATGTTTCCGAAGCGAAGCGAGGGCGGGTCGCTAGTTATTATATGTGACGGAGGAGGAACGCTGACGGAATGTTTTTTAAAAAGTTATTGATTTCTTGACCATGACTCGTGTTCGGGCTTCCGAAACAAAACTTCACGAGAACTGCGTATATTTCACGAGAAGCGTAACAACGTTCCAGAGACATCCGTACTGTGTTATGGCTCGGACACGAATGACCAAGCGCTTTTTTTCCCCTATCTATGCTGATAGCCTTGAGAGGCTATTTCAGCTTCACCCTAACGTTTGTAGGTGAGCTCACGGGGCTCAAACCGGAGAGTTGCTAACACTGGGTTCGGTTGAGGACGGTGACTGGTGCTTGAGGGTCCTAAAAGCACCGAGAGTTAATCCGAGGGATCCGACAAGACATGTTTCGGGCGGCGGTGGCTTTGCGTTGCCCCGTTGCGGTCGAATCAGGAATTAGCGGCGACCACGATGAGTTTTCATGTCGCGCCGCTGTGTCGAAGTAGCGTTCTGATGCTTCTCTAAGTTATTTACGTATCAGTACAAGATCGTGAAGATCTACATTCCTCACATACCACGGTGTTGCGACGGCTACCCTACAGAAACGGAATTGAATTCTGTCATTTCTGATTAGGACGTAATTCGTGATTTTAGAATCGCGACGCGAGGACTTAAGGAGAGTTTCCTACACCAAGAAGAGGTCAATCTGATTTACGCGGAGGAATTCAAGAATTTGGTTGCGTTGTCGCACGAGGCCGTTAGCGTTGAAGAATGCTAATTTAAAAGAATAGGGTTTAAAACGTGCGCTGTATGTACGCTATTGAGAAATATTTGTTTAACGCGAGAGAGTGCGAGATACGGACTCGTATACGTCCGTATGCTCGAACGCGGCGGCGAGTCGTTTTTCTGCGGTTGTCAATGAGCAAATCGCATTGACGAACGGACCGATGGTTCGTATACGAACTGGTCTCCACCGAAGCGCCAGTCAAGACGCAAGCGCACAGCATGGAGCAGGGCCAATTGTGGAGACAGTACATCATAGCCGGCGTGGGTGAGTTAAATGCGAGATAAATTAAGATTAAGGTGGTTTTGATGTTAATTTTGAGTTCTTGTTTTATTATTATTATTATTATTGCTTTTGTTTTATTCCGAGATTGTGGTTATTATTTTTATTTATAATCATTCTGGTATACTATATGAAATATTAATGAACGTAAAATGGATGCAAAATCTAAAGTAAATGAAATAAATAAATAAATAAAATGCTTAAAGATTAAATAAAATACAGTCAAGTAACCTAATGCTATGCTATTAATAATATTAAAATTGTGTTGGCCCCGACGTAACGAATATATTAAATACCTATTTGTCTGCTGTATATGTAAATAATACCAATAATCAATCAATATAATACAATGAAAGTATTAGCCGTTAACTCAATTAATAATATTGTTATGTACAACTCGAAAACCACAAATAATTATCAAATTCGGATCAACGAAAAAAAAGTTGAGGTAGAGCACATAAAAAGAAAATACATTCGAATTGAGAACCACCTTCCTCCTTTTTTGAATTCGGTTAAATACAGAAACATAATATTTTTCCACGCTTACTCATGCATGAATTTGAAAAAAGCCTTATTAGTATATAAGTATAAGATTAGTATAAATAGTATGACCAGAGACTAATACAAATTTACTAAAAATTTAAAATCTAAATTTAAATAAAATAGATACATTAATGTTAGGAATGAGCGAATTCAATGATTATATCTATTTCACGACTATTTTAAAACAAATTGTGTAATTAAGCCGTCATTATTATTATGAAATGGAAGAGTTCCACAACTAGATGACTTATAAGTTTTGTTATTAATATACCTACATAAAATTCTTTAGAAAAATGTGTCTATATGTCCCAATTTTAATCTATTATCATACAATAGTAGACATCATGTTGAAACGAATATTTCCAAAAAAATATTAAAAACGAATTTAAATAATAACAGTCTGAATATAATATAACATTAACATGTATTATTCACACACAAAAAATTAATATTACGATTAAAATTCAAATCGTACGAATTACAACGATCATTAGGTTTTTACTGTTCCAAAAAGTTTATTTCAATCTTTTAATTAAACGAAGCTATTTAATTTGACAATTCCCTAGAAAAACTATTTTAATTTGGTCAACGATATTTCGGAATGCAACAAAAAGCGCGGGAACGCTGTCTCTCAATGAAAAGACGCGCGGGAAATAAAAACATGGAATGTCAAATATTCGTTATTGTTATGTGTTGTTGTGTTATGTTCGTTGTGTTATGTGCGAGTAGAATTATAAAACTATAGATATTATAATTTACTGCGATTTAGAGGACGGCCTCAAAGTATCAACTTTCACCAGCGCACGACCTCGTCGATTGGATTGAAGTCGACCGTATTCAGGGTTTATACATTATGTACATAGATTCTTCTATAGTTCTCTTTTGGCGGTAATTTCTAAATTCTCACAGATTATATAAATAACGGTCTCAAAAAGAATTTATAGGTATATAGCCTTTTTGCAGGATTTGTAACTAGATGGCGTAATCAAATAATAGTCTTATTGAAAATTTAATTTAAAGTAAAGATGACCATGATCATGAAATAGACTACGTATTCTTATTAAGGCCATTGATTAATAATTCATTGACATTTAATTGAATTACATATTATAATAAATTACTATGCAACGTTTTTATTATTTGTATCTATTCGTGAATATAGAGAGAGAGAGAGAATAATACACTTTATTGCACACCAAAACACAATTTACATTCAAAAAACAGTCAGAAAGCAGATACATTTGTACAATAGGCGGTCTTATCGCTAAAAGCGATCTCTTCCAGACTACCGTTTAATTTAAATAAATTCTGGAAAATATAAAAATATAGCAGGTAGGTATGTTGCGGTGTACTAAAGACAATACATTATTATAGAAAATATATACATACAATAAACAGATATATACCGTTTACATATAATATGAAACATATAGCTAACTGATTTATATACCAATATACATACTTACATACTTACATACAATACATACATACATAATAAATCAACAGTATGGAAATTTTAAATGATAATGATGCAAACAAACAGCACTAAGCAGATAAGTAGTGTTCCTTCACCATTCTTATAAAACAGTTTAAAGTTGGAGCACTTCTCACTGCATCCGGCAGAGCATTCCACAATCGAACCGCCTGGACGGTGAATGAATTATCAAATAATGACGACGAATGTGCGGGCATTTTCAGTCTCAGGCTATCCGATGATCTGAGGGAAAAATTATGCGTATCACCCAGGAACTCGAAACGTTCTTTGAGATATGTGGGAGTATGGGGGTTAAAGAGAGAACAGTATAGTAATGAAAGGACATGAGTATTGCGGCGAAGGCGAATACAGTTACAAATCATTTAATAATCTGCTCCGACAGAGCCACGGACTTATTCGCTCTGTATCGTTTATAATCTAAAGAGATATATGAACACCTCTGAGACTTTAAGCTTAATAAAAGTTTTCATAGTTAAAGCTTAAAGGTCTTTACCGAGTACTCGCGTTCACTGCCGTAAAAAGCCTACCAAGCTTGCAAGGAATTGCATATAAAAAATCAATAGCTCTTTCCTTGACTGGAGCGTAATTATATAACAGAATCTCCCGGCTGTGTGGAATTCCGGTATTTCTCTCTCTCTCTTCAATCAGTCCCTCATTGATGAGGATCGTGACTCCGTCCAATTCCGTCAACCAGCTGTCTCCATCGATCCCTTTCTGTAGCTTGGTGGAGTGCGTCGCTGACAGGTATTTTCAGTTCCTCCGCTATCTGGTCCGATCTTCGTTTGGGACCTGTACCCCTAGGCCTTTTTCCCTCGATTTTAACACATTTTCCGGTATTAACAGTTTTTAAATTAACAACTAAAAGTGCCTTAATAGCGTAAGCTTATTAAACGGTCACCTTTTCGAGGAAGCGGTGCGACACGACAACCCCGTGGTCGCCTCAAGTTACATCATCGATCCAGACGACGAGGCAGCAAACAACCACCGTCGCCCTGGACATGTGATTGCGATTTAATCTCGGTGGTTCTTGGTAGTCCAAGCACTGGTCACCGTTCTCGTTGAATTCATCGAATGCAACTCCACGAAGAGTTCGCGATGTGCCACCTAATCCATAGAAACAAACAGCCCACTGAGTTTTTCGCCGCATCTTCTCATCGTGCTCCGATTCTGATCCGGTGGTAAATTCAGCGAAGCTCTCATACTGAGTCCCGCAGACTCGTCCACTAACCTGGCAGTGAGTGGCACTAAAAAATAAAATTAACGATGGTATAGAAAAAAAAAAAAACAGCTTTGTAGCTAGCCGAACTAAAAAGATGAAAATAATTTTCGGCGTTCAAAAAACGTACGCTACGTAAATGAAGTCGCGGGTAAAAAATAGCGTTTTTGCCAATGTAACTATTCCACGCGCACGAAGTCGCGAGCAAAAGCTAGTTATATATATCGAAACATAAAAGTGGTCACACAGATTTTTTTATTTCAATTAAACGAGAATCACTGCGAAAACGCGTATTTAATGTTAGCAAAAATGTCGAAAAGGCTTAAAATTCTGATTATAATTTCTGTCTGTAAGTCACGTTAACGCTGATAATTGTGATATTGGTAATAGGATGTGTAACTCGCACCATTTTGCCTATTTCGACCGTGTGGTAATCATGTGTCAGTTCGAAGGTTGAGACAATCGTTAAAGAATGCAACCGGTACTTCAATCGATCGATAATCGATCTATTCGATAATCGATGTCTCAATATGCTTGGGGGCATACATCTAAATATATCAATTGGCGCCGGTTACCATTTAGTACCGGTTGGTCTCTCTTTGGCTTTCTCGTTGCCTTCTCTAACTATATTGATAAATATAAAAAAAAATTCTACAAATGAATAATAGAATCTGCCTTCATATGCAATGAAATTGGTGAACGTCAAATCAAAAACCGATCCACTATCGATGTTTTTAGGTACCACAAGCACCGGTCACCGTTCTCGTCGAGCTCGTCACTTGCGACGAAGGGCTCGGCGAGCAAATTAACGCACAGACACAGTCCACTGAGTTTCTCGCCGGATATTCTCAGTGGGTCGCGTTTCCGATCCGTTAGTAGATTCTGCGAAGCACTGCTGTTACTAGGGCTAGTGTTAGCAATGTCACCAGGTTAGAGCCCGGTGAGCTCACCTACTCGCCCAGTTACGGTGACATAACCCCCCAGGTTACCTTAGCTATAGCTTAGTTAGGAAAAAGAAACGCAGGTCAGCGATCCTCACATAACCCGTCTCGTACTACAAGAGTTTAAAACATATCGCCAAATACCCGAAATTGTATTATGTACATAACAACATATATACGTTTCAGTATTTTTTTTTTCATATTTTTCACAATCCTAACAGTGAAAAATAAATATCAAGATTAAATAAATACTTGAATTTATATTATATGTTTTGGTGTCACTTTATAATATGGTCAATATAAAGTCAAGGTTTATATTTCAAATATAAAATAACCTTTGATAGGACCTGACTAGACCTATAATTATAATAAACTAGCTGACCCGGCGGACTTCGTAGTGCCTCAATCGATAAATAAAAGACATAAGCTTTTGTATAAAATAAACTGAAAACAAACAAAAGGAATCCGTCCGACGGGGGACACCAGTACCAGGCCCAAGACCCCGAGCTAGGTCTAAGAAACGCTGCTTGGATGTGGTAAAGGTGGATATGGAGAAGAACCAGAACCAGAAGGATGCCGAAGACCGGGCAAAGTCGAGGAGTTTAAGTAGGAAAGCGCACCCTGGTATTAGACCAGGAAAACTCTAAGAAAAAGAAGAAACATAATTTAGTTACTATATTTGTGAATTCATATTTTAATCACTAATTAAAATTTGATAACTCTAAAATTTTCAAGCCAATGTGTCTTGTGGCTATGTGTCGTTCTTATGTTAGCCACGAATGACGTCACACATAATGAAATTACGTTGAACCGAATTTTGTAATTTGTGCGTAGTCATTTTTATTAATAACAGCTGTCGATTTCTCTATTATAGTTTTGGTACGTTTTTTTTCTATTTCCATGGAATTGTAATTGAGAGTAACTTTACAGCGAACATCGCCATTACGGCTACTGGTTTTGCTTTGGGGTGGACTTCGCCGGTGAACTTGAAGCTCTTGGATCCTGACGACACACCCTTGTCGCAACCCGTCACCAACGACGAAATATCATGGATCGGATCCCTTATATCTGCCGGAGCTATGTTCGGTGAGAGTGTTAAGAATAATAATAAAAAACTGAGAACAAATTTGGCACGGTCATCCAACCCCAATACCAGAGACTGACGTACAGGCTTATTTACGTTAAAATATATACATATGTAAATAATGGACAGCCAGACCAAAACATACAAATCTGTTCATCACACAAATGCTTACCCGATTCCCATGAATCGATACAATCAAATCAATACATTGTTCCAGCCCGCTGAATTTCTCGCCGGATGTTCTCAGCGGGTCGCGATTCCGATCCGGTAGTAGATTCATTCGCGAAGCAGCTACTCTTGAGTTGTTAGGTCTCCTTTGGAGGCGTTCGGGTAGCTGTTAGCAAATCCCACCCCTCCTGGCTGAGCCGTTGCTCGCCTGCCTGTCCTGGTGAAACCAAAAAGGCCTCCGGGCCACCAGTAATCCCTGAATCATAAAAAAATCATTACTCCAAGTTACCAAGTATCAACTCCACTATAGCGACAGAAACAAAAGCTCCATTTTGAGAGCCCCTGGTACTGTATCTAGCGAACTGATTGGTACCATCAGTATATTCCCAGCAGAAGAAGAATAAGAAGAAGCAGTGGTGGCATAGTTGGGTTACAGGATCCACAAAACTAACACAGATAACCATTTTTCAGGTCCATTCATTGGAGGTTTCCTAGCGTCAACAATGGGTCGTCGATGGGGCATTCTTCTGTCATCTGTACCACTCATCGTCGGCTTTATTTTGATGATAGCCGTTCAAAATGTTGAAATGATTTACGCTGGCAGATTCGTTTGGGGCCTGGCAGTCGGGATGCTGTTTACGGTCACGCCGATGTATTGTGCTGAGATCGCAACGGTATGTGCAGGTCATCAGCAACTGCTTAAATAAAGATCACTTCCATTTTTATCTGTATGTCGACTTCACTAAAATTGGGGCATGGCATCTGAATCATACGTCACGGACGTGGATGTTTCTATGGAGGATGCAGCTAGAAAAATTTGGGCGTGTTGTGTCGGCATATACACCACCTCATGTCTTCCTGTGAATATCATTAAAGTGCACAAAGGAAATTGTGGCAGGTAGCCATCATAGAACACAAGATATTTGATAGATGCCTGAATCTCGATAGCGACATTTTCAAGATAAGCTTGCATATATACAAGTTCCGAACAACAACATTCGGACTGTCGGTTTACCGAGCAATGATACCCGCACGGTGGAAGATCTTGCCTTTATCGTATACCTCCCACACCGGTGACCCCAACGGATCAATTGCAGCCTTCACACTTCATCATCAGCGCATCAAGAACTTAGACTACCACAATTCCCACCTGGTACATTACCATATATTTATACTACCTATTCGTAGGTAGTCTAGGGGGCTATTTCAGCTACGCCCAGACGGGGACTACCTCCTATTTTTGCCGCAAACATGTCATGCGATTTCAAGGGTATAATAGCTGTTATACTATGCAATTAAGATTACGACCTCATGTCTGACTTACGCTGTGATGTCCATGAGCTCGTTCACTTATCTAGTAAATAAAAAATCAATGTCTTCGCATATCGCGAAGACCAATCTTATTTTTAGGATGACACGCGCGGTGCCTTGGGATCATTCCTCCTGCTATTTGTAGTATCTGGCTTCCTGCTGGTATACGCAGTGGGACCGTTCATCTCCTATTTCGCGCTGCAGTATGTCGGAGTAGCTATAGTCGCTATCTTCTGCGTGCTATTCTTCTTCATGCCTGAAACCCCGATGTATTATTTGAACAAAGGTAAGTTAATTAAACTACTCAACAAACACTAATCATTTCGACAGACGTATATGGGCTCAGCTTAATTTGATCCTAATTTCAATTGTTTTAACATTCGCGTTGAACTGCTCGCGCTGGAGAATCTCTAATTTGGAGCAGACTTAGATTTTGAGCATTCGTAAACTCATTGCGAGACTTATGTATCAATATCGCAATAATATAATATATTTAGCTTACATAGCTAGATATTTAGTCTCAGATATCGTAATTCTGTTCAAGCATATTCTTCTTCATTTTAGTCAATGTTTGCCCATTATTGACTCCTCTATTTCATGATGTGCATCATTGGCAACCAAATGACCAGATAAGATGAGTTGCGGCTTCTGTTGAAATTGTCTTGATTGAAATGTCACGTCTTATTGTATTCGCGCAGATGACGTAGACTCTGCGGCCAAATCCCTGCAATTCATCAGGGGAAAATCTCGCGCCGGAGTGGAAGCTGAACTAGACAAGATGGCCGCTGAAGTCAAGGGCGCAAGCCAGAAAACTGCTTACGTATGATTGTCAATTAAGTATACCAAGTTTTATATGATTACTGGCGACCCGCCCTCGCTTCGCTTCGGACACTGTAATTTATTATTGATTTCTCCACTATTTGATGGATGTTATTATACATATAAACCTTCCTCTTCAATCACTCTATCTATTAAAAAAAAACTCATCAAAATCCGTTGCGTAGTTTTAAAGATTTAAGCATACATAGGGACAGACAGATATAGGGACAGAGAAAGCGACTTTGTTTTATACTATGTAGTGATGTGCTCAACACAGCTCCCCCTGTGTAAGTCATGCAGCGACCGGAGAATTCTCTCCCCCGGCCGGGCGTCCGTGGGACGAGTCGCGCATTTCGTTCTGACATTGACCGCGGTAATCCTTCTCTTCTCTCCCGGTTTTCTGTTTCGAGCCGGGACTGGACGTTCGGCCAAGGGGAATCGTTTAGTGGGTGGTACCTACAATTTGACCAAATTCTATAGGTTCGGTTGCCGGCGTAAAAAAAAAAACTCAACAGTGCTCACTGACGTGAGCTACTTTGGGAGGCCATACAGGTAGGCACCATTGCTCTGCTTAGTTCTGCAAATTCATGTGGCAATACCAAGTCTTCTTAAAGCGTAGCATAGCTATTATCAGCACATGATCTGCACGATGATTATTTATTTATTTATTACACTTCATGTAAAATTTACATTGGCGGACTTAATGCCTATGGCATTCTCTAGCAGTCACCCAAAGTAGTGCAGAATAAATTATGGTGGAGAGTAAAGTATATATTGGTGTATATTAAATTACAAATACATAATATACACATATACATACATATATAATAATAGTTTATCATTATCCTGCCCTTCTCCCAGTCACCTGGGGTCGGCACAACATGTTTTCTCCTTCCATACTCTTCTATCATATACCATTTCTTCGCTCACTCCCCTCTTACCCATATCGTCTTTCACGCAATCCATCCATTTCTTCTTAGGTCTACCTCTTCCTCTATATCCTTCCACATTCATAGTTAACAATCTCTTACCAACCTCATTTTCATTTCGTCTCATCACATGTCCATACCATCCCATACGCGCACTTCTCAGCTTCTCTGTCACAGGTGCCGCTTTCAGACTTCCTCTAAACATATTCATTCCGTCTTCTATCCATTCTCGTTACTCCACACATCCATTGCAACATTCGCATCTTTGCTGCATGCAATCGTGTTTCATCCGCCACCTTACCACCTATAATAATAGTGTTCAAATGATTTTTGTTCATACCTATGCTGATAGCTTTGATAGGCTATATCAGCGTTACTAGACGAGTAGGTGATCTCACGGGGCTCAATCCTGACGATGTTACTAACACTGACCCCAGAAAGAGCAGTGCTTCGCAGAATCTACCACCAGATCTGAAACGCGACCCACTGAGAAGATCCAGCGAGAAACTCAGCGGGCTGTCTGTGGGTTAATTTACTCGCCGATCCCTTCGTCGCAAGCAACGGGTTCGATGAGAACGATGACCGGAGCTCGGGGGACCTAAAAACACATATAGTGGATCGGGAGGATCCGAAATGACGAGTTTTGGGCGATGTCGATTGTTTACCATTCGGTCCACGGGATCGCTAATAACCCTTTTCCAACAGCATTCGCCGAACCCTTAACTCGAACACGCACCGGTCAGTAATAGTCCTGTTTGCTTAGTGCAAGTTTATTAACGTTCTCGATAGCGTAAAAGTTAACTCAAATTTGTATGGAGTTGAAACGTTTGTCTACGTTTGCCGCTAGGGGCGCTATTCCAACTGCATACTAATTTGGGATCACTTTACGCGATCGAGTACGTTAACAACCTCGCACTAAGCACACTGACCTCGAGAAGGAGCGCATTTCATAGATTATGTAACTTGTAGGTATGTGTGTTGATTGTGATATCTTACGTTGATTACTGTTTTGTATTAGGTAAATTGTATCTTGTAACGTCACGAGGTAAGCGATGGACGACCGTTGAGGAAAGTATGGGAAAATAAAAAACTGGACTGTGTGAGATGTGGAAAGGAAGAAACTAGACGCTCCGTATATGTGGTGCTGGAGAAGAATGCTTGCAGTTGCGTTGCTTTGCTTCTGCAGTTGCTTGCAGAATGCTCGGCAAAAAGCAGCGTCTTTTTGCTATAGTAGAGTCTCGAATGGTGGATTTCTTCGGACACGCTTCGCGACGAGATAGTCGGTCCATAGAACGCCTTATAGTACAGGGAAGGGTTGATGGTAGAAGACCACGCGGGAGGTCTCCAATGCGGCGGACCAACCAAATTAAAACTACAGCGGGAGGTCCCCTAAATGAGTGCAATAGAATGGCCTCGAGTAAGGAGAGATGCAGCATCGTAAGACGCGTCAAGTCTGCCCCCTCCACCACAACACGACGATCTCGACCACTCAGCCAAGAGTGACACGATTGAGAAGAAAATAATCTTGTAACAGATAAGTTAAAGGCATTTTAATATCACGTTAAACAGAGTGCACTATTTTGTACTATGACGTCATAATTTATGCGCAGACTTTTTGTACCAACACTTGATTCGATACACGAAACGTAAAAGCTGAGTTTAGTTTTAATTATCATCGCACTTAATTTTCAAATACACTATCATATCATATATCAGAGCGAATATGTTGTGGTTTGTCTGTCCATGTACAGCAACATGACACTGTGATTACAATTGTCCAGTTATCGGACGTGTTCCGCGGCGCCAACTTCAAAGCGTTCTACATCTCGTGCGCCCTCGTGGCAGCCCAGCAGTTGTCCGGCATCAACGCAGTGTTGTTCTACATGGCGACCATCTTCGAAACGGCCGGGGCCATTCTGGACTCCGCCATCGCGACAATCATCATCGGCGCCATGCAGGTCTGTAAGATCGCCGATCACATCATACTATTACGATGTAATCTAATCGAATGGCACTAGCCCGTTTTGATAGGCATTAAAATTTCAACTTCATGTCTCGAAGTGGGTGATAGCAAATCGCCTCAATCAATCAAAAGAACAATCAAAATCGGTTCATCTAGGAAGAAGTTCTGAGGTAGCACTTTAAAAATTTTATCGAATTGAGAACCTCGTCTTTTTTGAAGTCGGTTAAAAACCATTAAAGCTAAATCATCTTATAAACATTTCAAAACTGCCTTTCTATATTCTGTAAAGTCAAAAATATGTCAACGTCTGGACAACTTCGCACGTTTTTATCTAATAAAAATTTTAATTTCCATTTTCGTTCTCTTGTCGTGTGAATATATTTTATCGAGAAATGTCACAGGTCGGTGCCTCAGCAGTCACGCCTCTGGTGGTGGACAGACTCGGCCGCAGGATGCTGCTCCTCATCTCCTGCACCGGAACAACTATTGGACTCGTAAGTATCGGACGTCTGTATTCTGTGTCAAACACGTCATAGGAGTTCTCTAATACAAGGAGACGACCTCTCGGAACGGCATTATGTTATCTGAATATAACTAGTCAGGTCATAAGTATTGTCACACAGTAAAAACTTTTCTTTTAGAATGCTGGCCACAAAAAAGTTTATTGAATTCGAATTTCGAATTGTTCATGAAAATAAAAATGTATACTTTTAGAATTTTACTCATTTTTAAATATGGAGTGGGCGCTTAAAGAAGACCGTGTTGCAGTTATTGCGTTGCATCGTTGCGGTTACGCGCCAATTCAAATTTTTAACATACTGAAAAATTTGAATATAACCAAAAGATTCGTTTATCGTACCATCAAACGATACAATGAAGACTCTAGTGTAGATGACAGGTCAAGAAGTGGTCGCCCTCGGTCTGTTAGGACTCCAGCAGTGATAAAAGCTGTGAAGGCGCGAATTCAAAGAAATCCCAAACGTAAGCAGAAACTGTTGGCCCTTCAGATGGGGTTAAGCAGAACCACGGTGAAAAGGGTGTTAAATGAAGACTTAGGGCTTCGGGCATATCGAAGAAAAACAGGACATCGTTTGAATGCTCGTCTAATGGACCTGAGACTGAAGAGATGCCGCGCTTTGTTGAAGCGGTACGCGGGAAAAAAATATCGGGAAATTCTTTTTTCGGATGAAAAAATTTTTACCGTAGAAGAGAGCTACAACAAACAAAATGATAAGGTGTACGCACACAGTAGTGAAGAAGCGAGCAACCGTATTCCGCGTGTCCAACGAGGTCATTTTCCATCCTCGCTCATGGTATGGTTGGGAGTTTCTTATTGGGGCTTAACAGAGGTACATTTTTGTGAGAAAGGTGTAAAAACGAATGCAGTTGTGTATCAAAATACAGTCCTGACGAACCTTGTGGAACCTGTTTCTCATACCATGTTCAATAACAGGCACTGGGTATTCCAACAAGATTCGGCGCCAGCTCATAGAGCGAAGAGCACACAAGACTGGCTGGCGGCGCGTGAAATCGACTTCATCCGGCACGAAGACTGGCCCTCCTCCAGTCCAGATTTGAATCCGTTAGATTACAAGATATGGCAACACTTGGAGGAAAAGGCGTGCTCAAAGCCTCATCCCAATTTGGAGTCACTCAAGACATCCTTGATTAAGGCAGCCGCCGATATTGACATGGACCTCGTTCGTGCTGCGATAGACGACTGGCCGCGCAGATTGAAGGCCTGTATTCAAAATCACGGAGGTCATTTTGAATAAACTTTAGTGTCATAAGAATCTATGTTTTGTTAAGTTCATTTTGGTATATGAATGGTTACATAATGAATAAACTTGTTTCAATTATTTTACATTAAACATGTGACAGAATTTATGACCTGACTAGGTATAGCGGACGATTAGGCTCATTGCTGCAGATCATCGCTGACAAGATGATGGAGAGTAGAATGAGATTTTATGTTCACGTAAAAAGAAGGCCACCAGACTACGTAGGAATTTTCAGCTCGACCAGTCCGGTTGGAGTCCGAGAGAAAGACCCAAGACAAGGTGGAAAGATGGAGTGCTGAAGAAAAAGAGGGAGCGCAATGTTACTGACAAGGATGTCGAAGACAGACCGAAGTAGAATAGAAAAATAAAGAAAACTACCTTACCACTATGTGGGATGAATAGCTAGGAAGAGAGATAGAGAGAGAAAGAGAGAAAAGGCTCGGTACTGCAAGGAAGGTGCTCCGTCTCTGCTGCCAATCGCTGATTACATTTTTTTTTTTTTTATTGCTTAGATGTGTGGACGAGCTCACAGCCCACCTGGTGTTAAGTGGTTACTGGAGCCCATAGACATCTACAACATAAATGCGCCACACACCTTGAGATATAGTTCTAAGGTCTCAGTATAGTCACAACGGCTGCCCCACACTTCAAACCGGAACGCATTACTGCTTCACGGCAGAAATAGGCGGGGCGGTGGTACCTACCCGTGCGGACTCACAAGAGGTCCTACCACCAGTAATTACGCAAATTATAATTTTGCGGATTTGATTTTTATTGCACGATGTTATTCCTTCACCGTTGAAGTCAATCGTGAACATTTGTTGAGTACGTATTTCATTAGAAAAATTGGTACCCGCCTGCGGGATTCGAACACCAGTGCATCGCTCGATACGAATGCACCGGACGTCTTATCCTTTAGGCCACGACGACGACATTCCACATTCACATGATGGTGAAACCTGTTTTATGTTATTTTATTTTTTTATTGCGTAGATATATGGAAGAGCTCACATCCCACCTGGTGTTAAGTGGTCACTGAAGTCCATAGACATCTACAACGTAAATGCCGCCATCCACCTTGAGATATGAGTTCTAAGGTCTCAGTATAGTTACAATGGCTGCCCTACCCTTCAAATCGAAACGCATTGCTGCGTCACGACTGAAATAGGCAGGGTGGTGGTACCTACCCGTGCGGAATCACAAGTCCTACCACCAGTAAACATAAACTGAGCTTTGGCATATTTTGCAATTACTTCAAACCGAAGGGTGGAGCAGCCGTTGTAACTATACTCAGACCTTAGAACTGATATCTCGAGGTGGATGGCGCATTTACGTTGTAGATGTCTATGGGCTCCAGTAACCACTTAAAACCAGGCGGGCTGTGAGCTCGTACACCCATCTAAGCAATAAAAAAAATTATTTTAACTAATGCCTCTAAGAACAAAGTCTACTGACCTTACTTAGTGTTTATGAAGGCTAAACAATTTGTTCATGTGTTCTTTAATTACATCACTATGACTGTAACACTATTTCGAATTAACACTACTCCAACTCTTACTGAGGCTTACAACTGAGGCTTAGTCCTCTTGAGTCTTCTCATTAAGTCTGTGTCGTCGAGGAGCTGGATAGCCTCCACATTCACATGATGGTGAAACCTGTTTTTTGTTATTTTATTTTTTTATTGCGTAGATATATGGAAGAGCTCACATCCCACCTGGTGTTAAGTGGTCACTGAAGTCCATAGACATCTACAACGTAAATGCCGCCATCCACCTTGAGATATGAGTTCTAAGGTCTCAATATAGTTACAACGGCTGCCCTACCCTTCAAATCGAAACGCATTGCTGCGTCACGACTGAAATAGGCAGGGTAGTGGTACCTATCCGTGCGGAATCGCAAGTCCTACCACCAGTAAACATAAACTGAGCTTTGGCATATTTTGCAATTACTTCACGGACAGGCTCAATAATAAGGTCCCGGTGAAGATCGTTATTTCTTATGTACCAGCTTAGGTTGACAATATCCCTGAGAACTTTATTTTGGAAGCGCTGTATTATTCTGATGTTAGTTTCGTTGGCACAACCCCAGAGCAGTACACCATAAGTCCAAACTGGCATTAAGACTTGTTTGTACAACGAGCGTCTTCAAAGTAGCCAGTACAACTTTTTGTATCTTATTCCTAGTTCTTTAAATTTTTTCTTGACGTGAGCTTTCCACCGCAGCTTCACGTCAATATTCCATATATTCCAAGATATTTGACGTATTTGCATACGGTATTGGTTGCTTGTTTGTATATATCGGATGGTGTAAAAATGTTTATACCGGTTTGGATTCGTAAAGTTCGATTCTCCATGTTCTAGTTCACTGGTGAAATCGATCGTTAGCTATTTGTTCTTTTGCTGCTGCTTCTTCGTTACTATTACCTGTCGCCATATGGCTGTATCATTAGCAAAAGCCGCAATAATACTATTATCTATGTGTGGAATATCGCAAGTGTATAGTAGGTGCAGGAGTGGCCCTAACACACTTCCTTTTGGTACTCCAGCTTTTATTTCTTTTAGCTCTGAATAGGCATCATTTTGCCTAACTCTTTACTTCTAATTATTCTGGTTATTAGTTATTATCTGAGAATAGGAAATGGATTTATTTAAACTTCGGCTATTTATACCTTCTTTGTGTTTAAATTCGTATTATTAACCACGTTTATATTGGGGTTACTTACACTGGGTTTCGATTGAGTAACTTCTGTAGTAGCAGCTTTAATATTGTCGAATCGTTATTACAACTTTGGTTCAGATAACTATTGATGTGCTAGGCTCTCATAATTTTCTCGTTTGGCTTTTTCATCAGTGTAAGCCTTATAAATTATTCGTTCATTTTCGGTTTTGACAGAAATATGTTTCTCGACCACTATGTTAGTTTAAATCGCTTAGCCTTAACGTTATTTAATAATATTACACAATTTCTTGAACGAGGTCATTACGATGTGTAGATGACGACCGACGACGCCGGTGGCGATATTAGTGATAGCTATGAGCTTTGCTAATTAAGTAGGTCACTCGCGAAAGACATGGCCTCACTTAATTAGCGAAACTTATACGCTGTGAGTTATTGACCTCGATTTATTTGCCCTCAGGGCCTCCTTGGCATGTACTTTATATTGGACACCAACGGCAGTCCAATAGTCGACAGCATGAGGTTCCTACCCATTCTGGCGCTGACGCTGTTCATCATCTCATACTGCTTGGGCCTGGGTCCTCTGCCATGGGTTGTAATTGGAGAACTCTTCCCGATTGACGTGAAGGCGTTGGCTTCTCCAATAGCCACGGCCTTCTGCTGGCTGCTGTCCTTCTTGGTGACTAGGTGAGTTTCAATGTTAGTAAATTGTATAATATAGCGTAAGTCAAAGTGATGCGTTAAAGATTATTACGGTAATGTTTTTGCTAAGCGATTTAATCGATCTGACTATTGACCTAAATGGGACTTGCTACTTGCTTTCTTGCTACTTGTTTGCTACTATGAACCTTGGGCAGTCCACATAGTTTAGCTGTTTCAGACATATTAGGTCTTATTAAGCCGGTGTACGTATCTTCTTGTATCCAATTTGGCCTTCCTTGATCAACGGGCTTATTCGTTGGGCCACACGTGACTTTGTACGTACTCTCTATTAATGGTGCTTTTAGGCACCACAAGCACCATTCACCGTCCTCGTCGAACCCGTCGCTTGCGACGAAGGGCTCGACGAGCGAATTAACCCTCAGACACAGCCCACTGAGTTTCTCGCCGGATCTTCTCAGTGGGTCGCGTTTCCGATCCGGTGGTAGATTCTGCGAAGCACTGCTCTTGCTAGGGTCAGTGTTAGCAACTCTCCGGTTCGAGCCCCTTGAGCTCACCTACAAACGTTAGGATGAAGCTGAAATAGCCTATCAAGGCTATCAGAACAGGTAGGAAAAAAAAAAAAAATTACGTACTCTGTCTTCGTACACATGCTTACATTAGCGAGATGCGTCTTACAATCGTATTCACGAACATTCATTAATACAGTCACGTTCCTTTTGTCTGCCTCTAACAATAGCAGGTCTTGGTTAACTTGAATGTATTCTAACGCAGAACGCTCCATAAATGTTGGATTTTGACAGCGCCATAATAATAAAAACTCATTACATGTATAAATCACGGTAAGCACCAGTCAATTAAGACAACAACATATTTGTGCCCTTGACATTGGCGAAATCCATAAGCAAAAACCACGCACTAAAAGACTCGTTTTGTAGAAAAAGAGCTGTATTGGATAATATATATTTCTGACTAATGTGATTTTTGTGCAGATATTTCTACCTAGTAGCCGATATAGTTGGAATGGGTGTGGTCTTTCTCATCTTCGGAGTTTGCTGTATAGTAGCGTTCTTCTTCACATTCTTCGTGGTGCCGGAGACGAAGGGCAAGAGCTTCCAAGAGATCCAGGATATGCTGGCTGGGAAGTGAGTAGACTATAATTACAAGATTAATGTATTATCTTCTAGGAGTTTTGCAAGCCCCAGCGGCTGGTCTCTGTCTATTCTTGCCGCGTAGCAGTCATACAGGACTACCATTAAACAAAAGTATAAATTTACAAACTTTTTATGTGTATAAAAGTTCCGGTATCTTGTTGAAAATAATAACGTCTTATTTCAAATGCAAAACTGAAAAATAACTTAGGCTATAAGTATCGTCCTAAATTGGCCAAATTCCTCAATGAAAAACTGCAGTCACATACAAAGTAATAGGAGATAGGTCTCACAGTCAACGGCTTAGTACTCTCCCCAAGCCTCGTTTGCAGAGAAACATGTCATAGCACTCAGGAAACACCATGGAGAGGAGTTAATTAAAAAAAATAAACATATTACGTAGCAAAAAAGATTTTTGGAAGCGCTCTGTGGATGAATGCATTGGTTCTAGATGGTTCTAGGATGGATGAATACAGTCGCAGTGGCGGCAGGTGAGATAGTAAAAACGTGATGATGGGATCGACTCAAACAATACCTAAGAGCACTCCCTATGAAAATAAACCTTATGGAATCCTATGAGAACCGAAATTCCTCTAATTTACGACAATCCAAATGGCCCTTTTGTTTGAAGTCTAATGGATGTAGCCGGTATTTGGGTCTGTACTGTCCTAAACGGTCGGTCACAGACCAGCTGGCGTACTGAAAGATACTTAAGGATTGTGTTTATCATTGCCTCCAGCACCTTGAAAATTAAACAAGTTAACGCGATAGGGCTGTAACTTGAAGAGTCCGAACGATTGCCCTTCATATGAATACGGTGGATATGAGCGGTCTTCCACTAAAACAAAACCTTGTTGATGTTACAAGAGAGGCGGTACAAACACGTTAGAGCAGGCGTCAAACGGCCGTCTGGTGTAGTGGTAAGTGACATGGTCACTACATAAGGGGGTCGCGGGTTCGAATCCCGCCAAGGGAAGATATTTGTATGATAAATATAAATGTCTTTTCCAGGGTTATGGATGTATATTAAATATATGTATGTGTATAATAAAAATCTTACATTTATTTCCGTTATCTGGTACCTGTAACACAAGTTCTTTACGAACTTATCACGGGACCAGTTAACACGGCGTGATCGTTAGTAAATTATTATTATTATATATATTATTATTATTATCTCTTCAAGCAACAGACAAGGTCCTACCACTCATTGTTTTCGGTTCCCGTTTTGCACCCCCAGGGGTTACTTGCAGGATATCGCGAATCAAGCATACGGAAGCGGGAAGGGAAGCATCAACCCTCGAATTTTCATTACCACAGAGATATTGCATCCTTATTAAAAGCGATGATTCTCTTCAAAACTGAGATAACTGATGACATTATATTTTCATACATTAACTAAATATGTTTTAAGATGGATAATAATTTAATCTTATCTAATATGCTGGGCGTATGGTTATCATCAGTATACTAGTTTCTGGTTGATGCTAACAAAAAAAGCGTCAGTGTCGTCCTCGAAGTCCTATTACTAACGAAGTTACTTAATATCAAAATATATTCGACCGAGCTGACGGGACAAAGCTAAGCAGCCGTTGCATAAGACATCTTTGGTCGGATCCCAGGACGATGCTTTTAGGCTCTTTCAAGCACCAGTCACCATCGTCGTCGAACTAGTCGATGACGACGAAGAGCTCAACGAGCGAACTAACTAAAAGCTCCCCCGACCCACTGAGTTTCTCGCCGGATCTTCTCAGCGGGTCGCGATTCCGATCCGGTGGTAGATTCAGCGAAGCACTGCTCTTTTGTAGGGCCAGTGTTAGCAACTTCTCTCAGGTTGAGCCCTTAGCTCATCTACCCGTCCACGCAAAGCTGGAATAGCCCCTTAGGCTACCAGCAAATGGGTAAGAAAACAAAAACGAACTTCGTTCTAAAAAGGTGTTCGTCGTATTCACAAAGAAGTCGTCACCTGTCGTATGAGTCAAAATGAGACACACCAGCTCGACACGAACGAGGAATTTGTCGTTAGGCACTTCTAAATTCTTAGAATAAGGATTACGTCGCCTGATACAATGCGTTTTCAGCGATGTCTCCTTCCACGGACGTTGAAACTCTGAATAGAACTCCCTTTGAGGTTCTCCCGAAGCGCCACGACATGTCTTTCTTCAAAGTGTGACTGTGTCTTTGGTATTGACGGTGTCCATTGGCCGCTGTGTTACATTCTATCAGGTGGACTGTATGTTAATTTATTTAGAGAACTAGCTGACCCGGCAGACTTCGTAGTGCCTCAATCGATAAATAAAAGACCTAAACTTTTGTATAAAATAAACTTAAAACAAACAAAAGGAATCGGTCCGACGGGGGACACATCAAAGGAATTCTTATTTCTATTTAATTTCGAGCTTTTTCATATTTATCTACCTTTTAAACCTTCTCTGGACTTCCACAAATAGTTTAAGACCAAAATTAGCCAAATCGGTCCAGCCGTTCTCGAGTTTTAGAGAGACTAACGAACAGCAATTCATTTTTAAATATAGAGATAAGAAATGCTTGTAACGGTAACAATTCATTTAAACCATACTTTTGTTCGCAGGGTGTCGCCATCGAAAACCGAGACAATTTAAAACCAAATAATGTTTTTTAAAACTTACGATAAAATACGCGAGCATTATTTTATTTTACCTCGAATGAAATATTTAGTGAAAGGCTAATTTTTATATTGTACTTCATTGATATTTAGTTGTAATTTAAAATATGTCTTCCAGTTTTATTCGTACTAAGCTATCGAATTTATTGATTATGATATTTAATAGAGAAAAATATAGTTGTAAATATAATACTATTATTATTTAAAGGGTTCTTGCAATGAGTTTTAAATTAAAGCCGTTCCCGTTATATCTTAATGATAATAGTGTTTAAAACTTAAAATTTTGATAACCGTGAAAGTTTTAAGAAAAATAGATTTAAAAAAAAAAGTTACCTACATGTGATAATAATATTATATTAGTGGACGAAGCGGGAATAAAACCTTCAGGGTTGGTAGCTTGTAAAGCGAATTCTAAACGAATTAAAACTAGTTTAATTAAAGTTGTTAGCTTTAAAAAATATCATTCAGCGATATTCAGAATTGGCTTATTTTATTTAATATCTGCGTAAGAGGAACAATGCATAAATTACGTAATTGGACTATATCAAGTTGTTCTCGTACCAGTAAATATATTATGCTCTTTATAGACTATACAATAAGATTCATAATGTTGATATTAACTTTCTGAAACTTAATACGGACTACGCCAGAGGTGCAGACATTTAAGTCATCTCTAAATTCTCTGTTAAACAGTGTAATAATTGTAAGACAGAAAGAACATTAAAAACAAACAAAGGCTATAGGCAAAGGATATTCAATATTCCCAAGCTAAGATTATAAGTGAAATGTATTAATTACTTGTAAACTTTATACTAATTTTATTTAGTTATATTTTAAAATTTTGTACATAAAATGTAAGTTGTGTAACGTCCTTTGGTATTTTCATTTTTTTTAAAGACAGAAATTATCTAAGCTGTTAAGTTTTGATTAATATAAATGATGGAGTGACTGGTGACGTCAGCGACTGTCGCCACGTTGTTTTTACAAATGATGACATCAGCGACGCTTATTTTCATTTATTGTCATACATATAGTTACAGTAAATGAGACCTGTTTTCTAATGAATTCCATTTATTGAATTTCAAGTGTACAACAATAACAACAAAAAGCTCCGCCCCGTTTGGCTACTCGAGCCGGAACGTATTGTGCGACAATAGTCATTCATATTTAGAGTAGAAAATTACGGGTAGCTTAGTCATAGAAGATTGCACAAAGTGGGAATGAGTTGCTCGCTCCGGGCATTTCAATATTGTAGTAATTGTTACGTTATAATACTCATTGTAAAAAATTCATATTTAAAAAAAAATCTAATATTAAAAAATTAAAAAATAATAATTTCATATTTAAAAAAAAAAAAAAGTCATGCCCGCTGAGTTTCTTGAGCTTCAATTCTTCTCAGGACGGAGGCTAGTTCTTGTGAATTGGTGGTAGTTCTTTTGACGTTCAAGTATGTACTTTCATTTATGTTGAAAAAAATTTTTTTTATTTGATTTGATTTGATGAATTCTCTTGAATACCGTCTTAAGCAATTGTTTACATGCGTCGGACTTATAATAATTAACCAACAATTTTAACATACAATGACGTAAAAACTAATTTTCAAAAAGACCACTAGTTGATTACGCCATATAGTTACAAATCCTGCAAAAAGGCTACATACCTATAAATTCTTTTTGAGACCGTTATTTATATAATCTGTGAGAATTTTGAAATTACCGCCAAAAAGAGCACTATAAAGGTTAAACATATTTATTAAAAATTAAAATAAGACTTGACCTAAAGGGCTTAGTTACCAGGTCATAAACACCCTAAAAAAAAGTAACCGCCAAAAAATAAGTATAGAAGAATTTACCTTATGTACATATAAACACTGAATACGGTCGACTGTCGACTTAAAACCAATCGACGAGGTCGCGCGCTGGTGAAAGTTGATATTTTGAGGCCGTCCTCTAAATTGCAGTAAATTATAATATCTATAGTTTTATAATTCTACTCGCACATAACACAAGGAACATAACACAACACATAACAATAACGAATATTTGACATTCCATGTTTTTATTTCCCGCGCGTCTTTTCATTGAGAGACGGTGTTCCCGCGCTTTTGTTACATTCCTAAGCATGGTTGACCAAATTGAAATAGTTTTTATAAGAAATTAGATGGTAGATCAGAATCAGCCAGGCTGGTGCCCAGCGTGTGCCAATCCACCACAGTTCTCGTGACAGTTACGGAATCGGGAGCACACAAGGTCCTACCTTTTTTCCCCTGCCTAAGCTGATAGCCTTGAGAGGCTATTTCAGCGTAACCTTAACTTAACTAGTAGGTGAGCTCACGGGCCTCAAACCTGACGACGTTGCTAACACAAACCCTAGCAAGAGCCGTGCTTCGCAGAATCTACCACCGGATCGTAAACGCGACTCACTGAGAAGATCCGGCGAGAAACTCAGTGGGCTGTGTCTGAGGGTTAATTTACTCGTCGAGCCTTTCGTCGCAATCGACGGGTTCGACGAGAACGATGACCGGGGTCCTACCACTGACTATGTTTTCGGCTCCCGCAACATACACAAGGACATAATTATTTTGGATCACACTGAAATGATAAAAAAAACTTTAAACAAAGAAAATGTTAATATATTTTTATTTGAAAGTGAAATACTGCTGCAACATTACGTGTATTGCCCAAAGGCTAGAACTTTGCCTGAACACTGATATTACCTTGAAACAAGTATTGACGATAGGCAGCGACTTGGCCATGCTTCTGGCATTGCCGATGACCATGAGCGACGGTGACAATAAACCGTTAGATGGACCGTATGTTTATATACGTACACGGCAAATAAGCTTCCAACGATATTTTCGATAATGAACTTTTTTAAGGGATTTTATGACCTGGTAGCTAAGACCTTTAAGTCATGTCTTATTTTAATTTATATTCTTATATTTATGAAAAATGATGATTCGGAGTGAAATGAAAAGAAAATGATTAATTTGAGACATTAATCAACTGGGATGAGATTAAATGAAATGAGACGATATGGGATGAAATATAATCTTAGTAAAACGGTGGTCATTTACTAAGATTTTTACAGTGGACTTTTTGGAGGATCCCGAGAAGTTACGTCCAGCGGCTTTGTTTCATTTTTGCACTTTCACAGATATTAAACAGTTAGTAAACCACCGTTGTTACACATTTTAACCTGAAGAAACACTAAATAGACAAAATAAAACAAATCACACAACATCACTCCTCGCGTTCCCGCCGAAAAGTCTCGATAATGAACTTCCAAAAAATTACTCGAATACCCGCAGACAATAAAAATGAAAATAGTATTACCAAATAAAAGTCATGAAATATTCAAAAATATATTTTATCACATAACTACAAAACTTACAACTATATTAACACATTAACTACATTAACAGTCTTCGGACACACAGATCATAAAACTAGTCTATTTGATTAATTTACTGCACATTAATCATGTCAATAACAATGTTTTTGACGACCTTGTCACGTTCGGCTTCTCGCAAGTAACAAGCAAATACCTGTTAGTAATTTGCTATACGATTATTTTTAAAATACATATTAGTTTCCTCGCTATCCAAGTCAAAATAACACAGCGACCATACCCTCAACCTCCTAACCGACTTGACGGTACGAGGGAAGAATACCCCATCACCAGTAAATAAACTAAAAATCGATTCGAAAATTTTGAGAATAGCTACTGTTTAGAGCAAGTATTAGATTCGTTCACGGATACTAGAACAGGTAGTATTTCCGAGAACTGATACGATATTATCGGATACATCCGTAAAGTTCTAAGATGAGTTCTAAAGGGGAATAGCTACTGTTTAGAGCAAGTATTAGATTCGTTCACGGATACTAGAACAGGTAGTATTTCCGAGAACTGATACGATATTATCGGATACATCCGTAAAGTTCTAAGATGAGTTCTAAAGGGGAATAGCTACTGTTTAGAGCAAGTATTAGATTCGTTCACAGATACTAGAATAGGTAGTATTTCCGAGAACTGATACGATATTATCAGATACATCCGTAAAGTTCTAAGATGAGTTCTAAAGGGGAATAGCTACTGTTTAGAGCAAGTATTAGATTCGTTCACAGATACTAGAATAGGTAGTATTTCCGAGAACTGATACGATATTATCGGATACATCCGTAAAGTTCTAAGATGAGTTCCAAAGGGGAATAGCTACTGTTTAGAGCAAGTATTAGATTCGTTCACGGATACTAGAATAGGTAGTATTTCCGAGAACTGATACGATATTATTGGATACATCCGTAAAGTTTCTAAGATGAGTTCCAAAGGGGAATAGCTACTGTTTAGAGCAAGTATTAGATTCGTTCACGGATATTAGAATAGATAGTATTTCCGAGACCTGATACGATATTATCGATATACCCATCGAAGAGAATAAAGTTTCTAAGATGTGTTCTCAAGAGACAATAACTATCATTCATGTTCAGTTAATCGATACTGGGTTGTAGTGTAATTAAAACATAAATGGATATAGTAATATTAGTAATTACGCTGCCTCTATGGACCTATTCCGAAATTTAAGAGCAGATTTCTCCACTCACACATATCTATTCGATTAATTAATTATTGTTTGGAACATCGACAAAAACGAGACATACACAATACGATTTTTCATAATCATTTAACGCAGTTCAGCTGACGCGCGAGGTCAACGCCCCGGCGAGTCAATTCGATTTCGATTGCGGGCTTTGGTTCTTATTAAAAGTTTAATCAATAGTTAATTAAACTAACGTCCGTCCGGTAATCAATATTGATTCGCAATCGCTAACACCTCAAGCCTTGGATTCATTTTATGTATTCCATTTTCTCTTTTGTTTTGCTATTAAATTATTTGAAAATATAAAAACGGACTTTCCAATAGCTCACACAGACTCAGCGATAGGAATGAAGAATGCGAAGAAAATGAGGAAAAGCGCCAACAAACATACCGGTAAATGGGTCTTTGTGTTTTCATATGTAAGTACATATTTATATATTGAAGGAAGAAAGCGCAATTGTCGTAACTTAAAAAACTCAACTTGACACTAGAACCTTAAATATAATATAATAAGATAAAAAGTCGTTTAACCCAAAATGTAAGTTACGACATTTCCGATTCCATCCGTCGTTATTATAGACCATTCTCCATTGTCAAAGCTCTCGTGTTGTTGAATCGACTCGATTTTTTTTAGTAAATATATGTAACTTAAAACGCGGTTTACTGATGATAGGCTATGTCGCCAGCCAACACGGGTCATAGAGCATACTCTGTTTCTTCCGGTACGTAATCTACTAAGCAACATAAAACGGTTTTGTCTTGAGACACTTTGAGGCATGTGGGCATTGTGCCCTCCATTGTGATAAATTACGTTATTCGTATTCTTTACATATGCTGTCCATGGACATCAAGACGTCGCATATGCTGGCCGCGAAGGCCTTGACGTCGTCGCTCCTCTGTATCTTGAGACTGGCGCTGTAGAGGCTCTTGTACATGTGGGCGAGCCTCTCGTAGTCCCTGTTGGCCTTGGCGCGGCAGTACTGGATGGCGCTCCGCAGCGCGTGGTGCAGGCGGCTCTCGTACAGCGCCAGGAGGCTGCGCTCGGAGCTGGTGGCGCGCTCCTCGCCCTCCTCGGGTCGCTGAGGGGGCTGCTCCTCCGGGGCGCGGTCCCTCAGCAGCCGCATCACGGACTGGCACTGACGCAGCAGCTGTATGGCCGTCTGGATAGACTTCAGCTTCAAGCTCGGCGACACTGCGGCGGACAAAGACACTCAAGTGGTTACTGGAGCCCATAGACATCTACAACGTACCCACCTTGAGATATAAGTCCTAAGGTTTTAGTATAGTTACAACGGCTGCCCCACCCTTCAAACCGAAACGCATTACTGCTTCACGGCAGAAATAGGCGGGGCGATGGTACCTACCCGCGCGGACTCATATGAGGTCCTACCAGCAGTAATTACGCAAATTAGAATTTTTCACTACACGATGTTATTCCTTCACCGTGGAAGTCAATCGTGAACATTTGTTGAGTACGTATTTCATTAGAAAAATTGGTACCCGCCTGAGATTCGAACACCGGTGCATCGCTCAACACGTATGCACCGGACTTCTTATCCTCTAGGCCACGACGCCTTCACTGTTGTACTGGGGGTCGGGAGGGAGCCGTCCGCGCTACGTACCTGCGGCTTGAGTCTCCATGAGCGCGACGTGCTCACACTGCACGGTGAGGAACATGGCGGCGTCCTCAAGCGCAGCGAACATGTTGGCGGCCTGCGCGTAGTACGAGCTCGTGCTGGTCACGAGGGTGCGCCGTCGGGGACCGTCCTCTGACGTCAGTCTGGACACACACACACACTTATACTAATTTAATCGCGACCACGGACATCACCGAGTGAGGCGTGGGTATCAAAATCTCAATATCTGTATGCTTAGTGCGAGTTTTTTAATGTTCTCGATAGCGGTTTTTTTTTTCGTACCTAAGCTGATAGGCTTGAGAGGCTATTTTAGCTAGCCCTAACTAGTAGGTGAGCTCACGGGACTCGAACCTGATGACGTTGCTAACACGAACCCTAGTAAGAGCCGTGCTTCGCAGAATCTACCACCGGATCGGAAACGCGACCCACTGAGAAGATCCGGCGAGAAACTCAGTGGGCTGTGTCTGAGGGTTAATTTACGGTGACCGGTATCGATAGCGTAAAACTTAGCTCATATTTGTATAGAATGGGAACGTTTGCCTACGTTTGCCGCTAGGGGCGCTGTTCCAACTGCATACAAAATTAGGATAACTTTTACACTATCGAGAATATTAAGGAACTCGCACTAAGCACACTGTATGCTTGTTGCGAGTTTTTTAACGTTCTCGCTAGCGTAAAAGTTAACCCAATTTTGTATGCAGTTGGAACAGCGCCCCTAGCGGCGAACGTAGGCAAACGGTTCAACTACGTACATGAGAAGTTTGGCGCTTTTGAAGATAGAAACGCGAAGTTCAGCATTAAAGCTTATATAAATGTAGGGGCAATGTACTTTTTTTTATTGCTTAGTTGGGTGGACGAGCTCACGGCCCGCCCACGGTGTTAAGCGATTATCGGAGCCCATAGACATCTACAACGTAAATGCATCACCCACCTTGAGATACGGCAGAAATAGGCAGGGCGGTGCTACCTGCCCGTGCAGACTTACAAGAGGTCCTACGACCAGTAATTACGAAAATTATAACATTTCACTACACGATATTATTCCTTCACCGTGGAAGTCAATCATGAACATTTGTTAAGTACGTATTTCATTAGAAAAATTGGCACTCGTCTGCGGGATTCGAACACCGATCACTACATACGAACGCACCGGACGTCTTATCCTCTAGGCCACAAGGTGTAGTGCAGCTGACCTGTACTGCGCGTGGTAGAGGGAGCCCAGCTTGTGGTAGATCATGGCGGCGCGGAACTGGTACAGGTACTGGCGCGGCCCGGGGCTCGTGGGGCAGTACTTCAGCGCGTGCTTGAACGCCTCCGACACCTCGGGAACTTCCTGGTTTGCAACAAATACCTCACAACAGATCAGTTGGCTGTGTTATTTATTTTTCTATACTAGTGGTCCCGCGGTAGTCGAAATTCGACTATAATTAACTGAAATTATAAGTTTGTAGACTGTTATGATTCTATCGTCAAAGACTATTATACTTCTGTAAGATTTCGCAAAGACTACACTTTAGATAAATATTAATAACGACAAACCATAATTAAAATAAAAATAATTATGTTAAATGTACAATAAGAAATGTAACAGATTTAGATAATGTAATGAGAATGAGAAGTGAAAATATATCGAAAAAAAAAAATGCAGGCAAAAAAATAAAATAAAAATAATAAGCAGAGAAATGAAAATTATAAAAGAACGAAATACGAACCCAACATTACAAATAGTGAAAAAAAATTGGAAAAATAGCAAATAAGCCTAAAAAATGTCCCTGACAATGAATCGTTAGGGGAAAGCGCATTAAAAAAAAAAGGGCGGTTACCGGAGCCCATAGACATCTACAAAGTAAATGCGAAACCCACTTTGAGATATGAGTTCTAAGGTCTCAAGTATACTTATAACGGCTGCCCCACCCTTCAAACCGAAATGCATCACGGCAGAAATAGGCAGGGTGGTGGTAACTACCCGCGCGGACTCACAAGAGGTCCTACCACCAGTGAACTGAGTTCTAAAGTTAGCGGAGTAAGTACGGAGCGCGGGATCAGCGGGACTCACCAGCGCGTACAGGCCGGGCTGGTCCTGCATGAGCACGGCGCGCGTGTACAGGTGGCAGGACAGCTCCCAGCACACCAGCTCCCACACGCTGCCCCACGCGCACGCCTCGCGCGGACCCAGCAGCCGCAGCGCCGACTGGTACAACTCCTCGGCCTGGCTGTACAGGCTGCGCTTCTCTGCACTGTTGACAAATATTACAACGATCGCCAAGCAGTCCGGGTTTAATGGTGGCCGCACGGGTAGGTACCACCGCCCCGCCTATTTCAGCCATGAAGCAGAGCCCTTCGTCGCAAGCGATGGGTTCGACGAGGACTGTGAGCGGTGCTTGTGATACCTAAAAGCACCGTTAATGGATCGGGAGGATCCGTAAGGACGTGTTTAGGACGACGTCGACTTCGGTCCACAGGATCGGGAACACGGCCCCAATAATTATGCTATATATTATCACCGTTTAATTTACATTGTTCATACTCACTTGGGGTTCATACTCACTTGGGGTTCATACTCACTAGGGGTTCATACTTACTTGGGGTTCATACTGACTTGGGGTTTATACTGACTTGGGGTTCATACACTCTTCTGGATCATACATACTTAGGAGTCATACAAACTTGGGGGTCACACTCACTTGAGGTTTATACTTACTTGAAACCCCCTTGGTCGCAATGCGCCTTGAACCTGAGGTACCTCCCCTTGTTGCAGTACAACAGCGCCAGATTGGGTATGTCATTGACCATTCGGAACGTCTCGGTGGCTTCGTTCAGACACTCCAATGATTTCTTGGACATGGTCTGGAACTGCTTGTACAGTAGCTTAGCTTTGGGCGCTTTTTGATCCGTTTCCTCGGCGTATTTCATGTAAATTTCTGAAACAATAAAATTCATTATTTCTAATAGAAAATCGGATAGCCAATCACTACATACCTAGGCGGCACTGAAAAGTTCAGGAATTAACGAAGTGACACAACATTACTATTTAAAAATGTATTTATTGCTTTTCGAAGTATTCTCCGCGAAATTTGACACATTTTTCCATACGATGGAACCAATCATTGAAGCAACCATTCCATTCGGAAGTTGGGGTCTCCAAAATGGCCGTTTTGTAGGCGTCCACAGCTTCTTCAGGTGATGAAAATCTCTGTCCACGCAATTTATTCTTTATTTTAGGGAAAGTATAGAAATCATTAGGGCTTAGGTCGGGGCTGTACGGCGGATGGTCTAATAATTCTATGTTTTCTTGCTCTAAAAACTCTTTTGTTCTGTGCGCGGTGTGAGAACTCGCATTGTCGTGATGGAGGATGATGCGGCGGTTGCAGTTCTCTTTACGGAGTTCAGAAACGACCTGTGGCAAACAAATGCTAGCATACCATTCTGCATTAACCGTTCTTTGTCCCTCAAGAGGAATAGTCGTAACATGGCCGGTTTTGGAGACAAACGTGGCCACCATTTTTTTTGCAACACTCCGTGAACGAACAATTTTTGTTGGCTTTAACTCATTTTCGAACACCCAAACTCGTGACTGGTTTTTTGTTTCGGGTTCGTACGCGTATATCCAGGATTCGTCACCTGATACAATGTTGTATACAGCATTTGAGGATCCTGCGTGGAATCTTTCGAGAGTTCTGACGCACCAAGTAACGCGAGCCGCTTTTTGCTCTTCACAGAGCGAATGCGGTATCCATCGGGAAAACAACTTTTTTACACCTAATTGTTCATGCAAGATTATTTGTATTTGACTCATGCCAATGTCTAAAGTTGCCTGAATTTCGCGGTATGTCACATGTCGATCTTCCTCAATCAGCTTACGCACAGCATCAACGTTTTCTTGGGTGACTGCAGTTTTTGGACGACCTTGACGGGGATCATCACTGAGCTTGACACGTCCACGTTGAAACTCAGCAAACCAGCGATAAATTGTGGTTTTGGATGGGGCTTCATCACCAAATGCAGAAATCATCCGGTCAACACACTGTTTTTGTGTTAAACCACTTCGAAAGTCATAATAAATCATCGCTCTTGAATTTTCTCGAGTCAATTCCATTTTCTCAACGACTAAACAAGTTTGACAAAACCTCGTGACAAGACCGAGAATCTTTTTTTAAATAAATAAATGGTATTCGATTTTTAAAACCAAGGAGTTTTCAATTAAAAATATTTTAATATGACAGGAACAGTGGAAATATTCCATTCCCGATACTTTTAGTGCAGCCTAGTAGTATAAAACAAAGTCGCTTTCTCTGTCCCTATATCTGTCTGTCCCTGTGTATGCTTAAATCTTTAAAACTACGCAACGGATTTTGATGCGGTTTTTTTTAATAGAGAGTGATTGAAGAGGTTGGTTTTTATATGTATAATAACATCCATTAAATAGTGGAGAAATCAATAATAAATTACAGTTTCCGAAGCGAAGCGAGGGCTGATCGCTCGTTAAGTAATATTCGAAAGTTCTTTACAAACTTTTTTGGACAAGCTTCGCTTCGCTTCGACAGTAATCGCGGGTAACATCGCGGAACTCAGCTAGTACCTAATAAAAATTATATACTTTGCCGTGCTACAACTTCTAGCAAGGATAAAAGTTCCCCTAATAAACCTGGTGTACTCACGCTGGGCGTCGTTCATGTATCTGACGGCGAGCTCGTTGAGGACCGAGGCCAGCCTCCTCAGCAGCTCATCCCTCTTGTCGTGAGTGACCCTCACGGCGCGCCTGTAGTAGTCACACGACATAATCATCGCCGAGGTCTCACTTGTCGGTAAGCTTATATCTGCGAAAGTTTTATTAATAACTTTGAAGTCGTCGTGGCCTAAGGGATAAGACGTCCGGTGCATACGTGTTGAGCGATGCACCGGTGTTCGAATCCCGCAGGCGGGTACCAATTTTTCTAATGAATTACGCACTCGATAAATGTTCACGATTGACTTCCACGATGAAGGAATAACATCGTGTAATAAAAATGAAACCCGCAAAATTATAATTTGCGTAATTACTGGTGGTAGAACCTCTTGTGACTCCGCGCGGTTAGGTACCAACACCCTGCCTATTTCTGCCGTGAAACAGTGGTGCGTTTCGGTTTGAAGGGTGGGGCAGCCGTTGTAACTATACTTGAGACTTTAGCACTTGTATCTCATGGTGGGTGGCGCATTTGCGTCGCGGATGTCTATGGGCTCCAGTAACCACTTAACACCAGGTGGGCTGTGAGCTCGTCCACCCATCTAAGCAATAAAAAATAAATAAATAAAAAAACTATCTGTACCAGTCCGCTTCACTGGGCATTTAAAATTAACATTATTATTTCCCTCACCCCCACAAAGATACTCATCATTAACGCCCCCGCAACTGGTGTAGGGAGACCAACACTCAAATAAATATTAACCTATCCATTAAGTACATGTATTTTCTACATGGATACCAAGTTTCAAGTCAATCGGATGCACGGTTCAGTAGTTATAACGGAACATCCGTAAAAACCACTGTAGATTTATATATTAGTATAGATAAATCAGGAGCAGAGGGCGCTAGTGGCGGGGAATCTAAGGGCCATCTGTTGTACTTCCCTGAGGTCGAACCCATTGGTCGTCGAAGCCTTATGACATGTTTTTTTTTTTAATTATTTATTGCATAAATGACTGGACGAGCTCACCCGGTGTTAAATGGTTATCGGAGCCCATAGACATCTACAATGTAAATGCCGCCACCCACTTTGAGATATAAGTTCTAAGGTCTCAGTATAGTTACAACAGCTTTGAAGGGTGGGATACCCTTCAAACCTAAACCAATGCATAACAATCACATTAAAAAAAAAACATTACAAACACTACCATGTATTTGGCACACCCACGCATGCATACTATTTGTTTATTGTCAAATTTTTCTTATTGCTCTTAGTCTGTGGTCAAGTTGGGAATAGATTAAATATTGTTTGTCTTTATTAATATCGCCTAAATTGGCGAAATCTGTGATCATAGAAGTAGTCTTTGATAATCATAATAGTGTACAAATTTATACTTTCAACTAATTATAGTCGAATTTTGACTACCGGGAGGCCATTAGTTATCTGTAAAAAGGCAAAGGGTCTAACCTAAGTCATAGAAAGGCAAAGGGTCTCACTTAGATCAAAGAAAGGCAAAGGGTCTCACCTAGGTCAAAGTCATCCGAAGCGACACCCTCGACCTCCTCGGTCATGTCGCTCTCGATCTCCGCCTTCAGCCCGCTGTCCGTGTCGTGGTCCGTCTCGAATTGCTTCCTGTACGTGTCCAGACTCCCCCAGTGCTTGCTCAGCTGAAAATAATTATCGCCCACCCTGCCCAGGAGGCAGCTGGCGTCCACCACTTTACTCTTGATGATCATGTTGCTCAGCAGCTTCTGGCACTTGGATGCTATATCGATGTACTTTAAGGAGAAGCCGTACTGCTCGTTGACGTAGCTGTACTCAGCGAGGGTGGCGCACGCTAAGCATATCTTCTCATACAGCAACGTTTTCAGATGTAGCTTCCAAGCAAAGTTGTCGTCCCTGTTCGGTTCGTGCCACGACGGAAACACTTTCTTCTCCTTCCGAATCAAAATGGCGTTCTTGTCTATGGGTTTCGTTTCCACTAACGAGCCACTCGTATCGGGCGGCTTTTCGCTCAACTTATTGGTCTTCTCGCTGTTCTTTCGGTCTCGTTTACGTCTCCGGCCCCGGGAGCGTTCTTTGAGCTCTTTATTGATTGGCTCGTAGTTCATTTTGATCGGTTCGTATGGGTTCGCCATTTTGGGGTGTTGTTCTTCGACGATGATCTGCTGCTTGAGTCGCTCCCTCTCCTCCTGCTTGCACTTGTCGATGGTGACGTTGTGCAGAGCTAGAAGCCCCCGCAGCGCGTGCAGGAGCGCCCGGCCGCAGCGCGCAGGCACGGCCACTCCCAGACCGCTGGAGCCCGACGCCTTGCCTTTCTCCTCCTGAGAAGTTAAGTGGTTACTGGAGCCCATAGACATTTACGACGTAAATGCGCCACCCACCTTGAGATATGAGTTCTAAAGTCTCAGTATAGTAACAACGGCTGCCCCACCCTTCAAACCGAAACGCATTCATGCTTGACGGCAGTAATAGGCAGGGCGGTTCGTACCTACCCGTGCGGACTCACAAGAGGTCCTACCACGCAAATTATAATTTTGCGGGTTTCATTTTTATTACACGATGTTATTCCTTCACCGTGGAAGTCAATCGTGAACATTTATCGAGTACGTATTTCATTAGAAAAATTGGTACCCGCCTGCGGGATTCGAACACCGGTGCATCGCTCAACACGAATGCACCGGACGTCTTATCGATTACAACGACTTCAGTCAAGGGTTGTCACTTTAAAACTTTCATACGTATCCCACGGAGTGCCATCCTTATAGTACTTTAATTTATATAATACAATAGTATTTACGGTGTTCAATAAAGAAAAGACGAAATGGCGTTTCTCCTAAAAAAAAAACAACAAGATTTTTATTTACAAATTTTCACTGTATCTTGTACAAAAACGTTTATAGCTAACAATACTCACCTGAAAAAAAAACAACAAGAAACAACATTTAATGTCCTTTCTTCGGGTTTAATTATTATTTCAATAATTCTTTATCACACACAAAACTTTCTTTCACAACGTTTATTTAACCGTAAAAAATATTTTTTTTAACAACTGTCAGTTGTCATATGACAGATGACAGTGACATCTAATAATTAACATTCAATCATTCAGTGAGTGAAGTGATAATGCGGTAAATTCAAATTTTAAGGAAAACTACTAACTGTTCAGGGTGGTTTTCCTTTACATACATTTCATTAATATCAGACGAGGCACCAAGAACTCACCCCGATGCTGTTCCTCACGCGATCCCCGATATCTCTAAGCTCCAGTCCCCTGATCTGCACGGCGAGAGCCTTCTCTATCGCTTCTTCTTTCTCGCACTCATTGTCGTTCTTATCTTGTATCTCTTTCTCCTCGGCAGGTTTATCAGTGGATAAGTTTTCGTACATCTGTCCCCTATCGGAATACTCCGGGCTCATGAAATCGGCATCTTCGTTGTCGGAGTCGGAGTTTTCATCTGAAATATAATAATTTTTACAATATTCATTAGTGGTCACTTGTAGACAATCCATTTGGATTTGCCTAGCAGAGATCGAATATACAATTGACTCCAATGTATTGGAGGTGTGACGGTATAGGCGATGCGACCATTTATGAGAAACAGTAACTTAACTTAACTTAACGTGACAAAGTATTTTAATAACGGGAACGCCGCCTGCCCCGCCCTTCAAACCTAATCGTATTACTACTTCACGGCAGAAATAGGCAGGGTGGTGGTACATACCTGTGCGAACTCACAAGAGGTGATTGCTACCATTAGTAATTACGCAGATTATAATTTTGCTTCACCGCGGAAGTCAATCGTGAACATTTGTTAAGTACGTATTTTTTAGATACAGTGGTAGCCGCCTGCGAGATTCGAGAATCCTACTAGGTCCTATCCTTTTCAGAACTCCGAAATCCTTCGATGAATTATAATTATTTCAAAGTTACAAATACACCGCGGCGGACATCTCGTCTGCAATAACTCAACAATACATATTGTACCAAGCCAACTATGATTCCTGTCGTGATGACCCTACCTTACAACTGTGAACCCTGTCGTGCCAACCCTACCTAACAACTATGAACCCTATCGTGCCGACCCTACCTAACAACTATGAACCTATCGTGCCGACTCTACCTAACAACTATGAACCTATCGTTCCGACTCTACCTAACAACTATGAACCTATCGTGCCGACTCTACCTAACAACTATGAACCTATCGTGCCGACTCTACCTAACAACTATGAACCCTATCGTGTCGACCCTACCTAACAACTATTAACCTATCGTGCCGACTCTACCTAACAACTATGAACCCTATCGTGCCGACCCTACCTAATAACTATGAACCTATCGTGCCGACTCTACTTAACAACTATGAACCTATCGTGCCGACTCTACCTAACAACTATGAACCTATCGTGCCGACTCTACCTAACAACTATGAACCTATCGTGCCGACTCTACCTAACAACTATGAACCCTATCGTGTCGACCCTACCTAACAACTATTAACCTATCGTGCCGACTCTACTTAACAACCATGTATCCTGTCGTGGCGACCCTACCTGACCAGTTGAGAGCCAACAAAACGCAAGAGTTACCTTTGAAGTCTGGGCAGGCCGGGTTGGTGGTGGCGGGCACGTACAGGTCGGACAGCATGTAGTGCGAGGAGGCCACTATCTGCGGGTACCTCTCCACCTTCAGCAGCTCCACCACGTGCTCAAGCAGCTGGCGCACGTGCTTCGTGCGGTTCGTCAGCCTGCGGACGATCCAGTCATTCACTTGATTCGGCTACTTCCATAACTATAATGAGCCCACTGACCAGATGTGCTCCGTCCCTTTCCCGCAAGGCGAACCCTCTCCGTCGAACCGTAAACGAAAACGCTTATAACTTGTAGAATGCATGGCGGTTAGTAACTGCTTGTAATGCCAAATGTATGCAATTATGTATGTAATTTTTTTTTGGTAGAAGTTAAACTTCTAATGCGACTTACAAATTTTTTTTTCCTACCTATTCTAGTAACCTCGAGGGGTTATTCTAGATTCACCGAAGTAGTAGGTGAGTTCACGGGGCTTAAACCTGACGACGTTGCTAACACGAACCTTAGTAAGAGCCGTGCTTCGCAGAATCTACCACCGGATCGGAAACGCGACCCACTGAGAAGATCCGGCGAGAAACTCAGTGGGCTGTCTATGGGATTTTTAAGGATAAGAAGGTATAATGTAGAGGGTTAGAATACATGACGTGTAATAACTCTTTGCAACGCCAAATGTATATAACGATAAATGTACTAAAGACAGAACAGTTCTATTCGAAAAGAACTATAGTGTCCGTGTACTCCAGTAAGACCTGATATTAGATAGAATGCGAGAATATATTTTCACCCTTATTTATAGTATGGCAATACATTATGTGAACTCACCTCATATTCCTGGCGACCCGGTACAGCAGCATGGCCACGGGCGTCGTGAAGGGGTTGTCCAGCGTGTCGGGGCACAGCGACGTGAGGTCGTACAGCTTGACCACGTCGTCGTGAGGCCCTTTGAAGAGCCAGTACGTGTGACCCGCTTTCGTAGCGTTCGACTTCAAAAACGAAAGTATGTTCTGGGCAACGTTCCTTATGACTTTCGGCGAAAATCTTGAATCCTCCATGTTGGGCAGGTCCTCGGTCTTCATCGGCTCGTATTTCTGGACTATACCATCTAAGTGGTAGCACATCAGCACCTCAGGCACGTTGCACATCAGGTTGTCCAGCCAGTAGTCGATCCCGGTTAGCACGTTGATGGGTTCCCTGGCGTCGCGCAGCCGGAGACTGACGCAGGGCCGGTCCTTGTCGCCGAAGATCGGGAGGTCGCTGCCGATCAGCATGTGGATGTCCTCGAAAGTCCATAGAACGTTTCTGTTGTACAGGTGGACGTTAGGGGGCTCTTCCTGCCTGGTCTCCGGCTCCGGGAGAAACGGACCTGAAGGATGAACACCTCGCCTTAAATTTGTATGTTCATTTTCAACACAAGATATTTGACAAATACCTGAATCTCGCTGACGACATTTTCAACATAAGCTTCCATAATATATACAAGTTCCGAACAACAACATTCGAACCGTCGGTTTGCTGAGCAATATCACGCGCTCGGTGGAAGATAAGTATGTACCACAACCCTGCCAATTTCTGTCGTGAAGCAGTAATGCCTTTCGGTTTCAAGGGCGGGGCAGCCGTTGTAACTATACTAAGACCTTAGAACGCATATCTCCAGGTGGGTGGTGGCATTTACGTTGTAGACGTCTACGGACTCCGGTAACCACTTAATACCAGGTGTGTTGCGAGCTCGTCCACCCATCTAAGCAATAAAAAAAAACTTTACTTTACTTTGGTGCCCTGGCAGAGGAGGAGGTGTCTCATCTGGGACGCAACTTGCGTAGATACTTTTGCTGCCAGTCATGCAGCCTACCCGCGTGGACTCACAAGAGGTCCTACCACCTACCTTCACCGTGGAAGTCAATCGTGAACATTATCATTTCCTTTTTTTTTTTCACTATAACAACTTTTTATATATTTTTATTTGTTGACCCTACCATCTGTCAGTGCAGGTACATAGAGGCTATTTTCGATTCGTTTGTTTACTGACGCGGCTTGTATGTGTGTGCTGCGGGCGATACGTACCGGTGATGCAGGCGGGCGCGGGGGGCAGCGGGGGCGGCGCGGCGGGGGGCTCGGCCACGCTGTGCGACAGGAACTTGTGGGTCAGCGCGCTGCTCGCCGGGCCCAGGCGGAGCAACGTGCGCTCCTGAACGACGCACATCACCAGAATTAGAGCAACAACGCAACATAACAATTATCGAGAAATAACCTTCTAGTGTAGCTAGGTCTGACGAGGATATCTACTAAGTTGATTAGGTCTAAAAATTACATAGATGATGACCTTTTTGATTTTTTTTTTTTTTTGATAATGCCATCTTGTTGTATCTTTAAAGCAGTTAGTTGCCCTCAATTAAGAAAAATTGTATTATTATTCGCCAATAGATGTCGGGAAGAGTTGATTATTGAAAACACGAATAAAACAACATTTTCTGAAAATAAATCGTAGCTAGTACGATTTATCGCCCCCTAAATCCCCTGTATACTAAATTTTATGAAAATTGTTGGAGCTGTTTCCGAGATTCAGATTATATATATACAAGAACTTCTCGTTTGAAAGGTATAAGATATTAAAAAGTACATAAGAATCGAAATCGATTGGTGTGCAGCCAGGAACGTCCCTGTGACTGTGAACGAACCAGATAACAAAGCCGTACCTGTTCAGACATAGTCTTTAATATGTTCTCGTAAAAGAAATCCTTCAGCCAGGACCACTCCGACTTCATCAGGTAGTCGTAAACGTCGAAATCGTCCAGTAGCAGGGTATTCTCGACTCGGTGCACCATCATACTAACCTGCAGACAAAATGAGGGGAAATCAATAATAATATATAAATAAGACTGAGATGAGGTGAGGTTCATCTCCTGTAGGCCAAATTTTCGAGTTTCAGTAAATTTTTAGTAGGTTGCTGTCGTGTAATTGACATAAGATAGTGAAAGATAGAATAAAAAAACTAACGTTCCTGCCACCTGATCCTGTGATAGTCTACTTAACTTGCAAACTTGCAATTTTTGAAATGTTACATTTGTATAATAGGCGATAATTTAAAGAAGCAAATAAATTGTACATTGGTTGGTGAATATCATTACAGTGCATTGAAACAAGATTAAATGCAGACTTACAGTGCCATTGGGTTGATAAGGTAACTTGAGCAATTTCTTGATACATTCAGCACCAGATATGACATCGACCTCACCCACACAGTCCGGGAACATGTGAGCCATTCGAAAACTGAAAAAAGGTAGAATAAATTTATCTAACAAAATTTCTACATAAAATTTATTGAACTTTTGTTAGATGAGATATTTTTCTCAAAATTGTTTTTGCAAGTTCATCTTTTCAATATTATTTTTGAGGTACCAGATAGCAGATTCATTGAAATACACACCCTGCTTTTCACATAGGAATATACTATGATGGTTTCAGTAGATTAATGTAGCGAAGTGATCTCTTAAATTAATATACCCAGGGTTCCAAGCACCAAACTCATAATATATAAAACCTTTTCAAATTATTAGTACCTGGATAGCCCTGTGCCTCTAGTCAAGATCTGCTTAAGTCCGTAGGAGTCGATGGCTGCTCCCCAGTTAGACGGTGGCATGTTGAGATCGGTGTTACACTGTAGACGAGCATACCCCACTGGACTCTGGAATGCAGTGTACTTCACCACTGCTGTTGATTTGATCTCTGGCGAGGGACTGCGAGACTGGAATAGTATTTATCAGTTTTTTATTGCATTTTGTACTTTGTAAGGTTTCTGCAAATCACACAATCAACCATTTTGAATTTTTTAAGTTTATATTGATTATATTCCTTGAAATATTGTATAAACTTCACATTTTTACATTAATGTATAATATGTATAATAATATATTTTTGTGTATATGATGAGTTTGTTTAATTTATGCCTCAATGCACCTACCATTTTTTTGTCTTCAGCACCTTTATTTGACTGATAGAGAATGCCTTTGGCATTAAATCAGCCAAAGGAAATGAAGTGTTATAAATAAATAAAAAACTACAAAAAAACAATCTCAAAGAAAAGCATGAAATGAAGAGTCTGCCAGACTAAGACTGAAAATACCACCAGTAATTACACTTATATTGAACGAAATTTTATTTATATCACATAGCATAACAAAGGCTTATCAACAACTACTAGAAGCCTGCATAATCGAATATGCAATTTCGAAAAGGGCACATGTCGCATATTTTGTCAAATACGTTTTTTCATATACATGTAATTTTGAGGCTTACCTACACCCATTTTATAATAATTCCAGTAATTTTCAATTGCTAATTAACACTAAAATATATCTCAAAAGTTAATATTATAAATTTTACACTACTTTAGAAAATAATCAGTTTTTTTTCATTTCCTGAACATTTTACATTTTCAGAGATGTGCCCTTTTCGAAATTGCATATTCAATTAGAACCCAGGTGTAGTCACAACAAAATAAAAAGTGAATCATGTGCATGACTGCATGATGCAATCTTCATCTACCCATTTACCTTTATACCCATATAATTGTACTCAAAACAGCTCCAAAATATTATGAATTCATTACATGTGAAAATTGTGGTAAGATTTCTGAAATTTATTAATATGACCTATAATTTATATTTTATCTTAAACAGGAAGACAAATAAAATTAATAATAATAAAAAATTATAATATAATATAAATATAAATTAATAAAAATATTTGTGACAATACATATATTTTTATTTACAAAGCTGCGAATGCTCAATTAAAGTTTCAACACATAAGACCCTGTATCATAAATTTAAACATATAAGAATATTTACAAAATCAATATTTAAACTCCTTCCTGATTTTTTTTACCATTTTTTTCTTTGTGCTTTTGAATTTGGCTCTTAAAGCTTACTTGTACAATTGACACTTTTGCCTTACTGTTTAAAATTTTCAGCAGTGACCAAAATTTTCCCCACACTATTGAATAGAGTTCAAGTAAATTTGTCAATGTGTATCTTTATGCACTATAAGTGAAAAAAGAATAATTATATTTTCTATATTTGTTTTATCAAGTTTCCTGGGGAACCCTGGTTTATTAGCCAGACATAGTTCAGGCTGGTCTAAATGGGGGCCTACTTCAATAGGTACAGAGTCTAAGCGACCACCACATTGTAATTTTTATAGTTCCAGATATGTTCGAAATTTAAGATCGCATTTTATTTTAATTATACAATACACATTACGATTAATGACGCTATTGAATTTAATCAGGATAGCACGGTCAAAAATTACTATTATATTGATCAAGGACTGTAAACATAAGACATAAAAATGAACTATCACCATTCTGTAGTTCTTAATTAATAAGCAGTCTCTCTGTTTAAAGATTTGTTACGATCAAAAACGGAATTTTATAAAAAATATTTCAGTGTTTGGAAATAATAGGCATTGTAAAAATTAATAACAAAAATACATTATTTTAAAGTTTAAAAATAGTCATTTCATGCAATTAACCTTAGTTCTCTTCTCTTCATTATTGTTGTCTGCTTCTTCCATTTCAATGATTTTCTTAATTGCTTTACTTTAAAAATTTTCTTCGTAATAATTTATTTAGGTAGTGTATGAACCAACTGAATTTTTTTAAAAGGAAATAACACAAAATATACAACCCAAAATTTACACTTTGTCAAAAGTGTCAAACAAACAGCCGCACGCAAGTGTCAACATGGTGTTTTTTTATTTTTTTATTGTTTCTTACGTCCATTGACTTTTTTAGGGATTTTATGACCTGGTAACTAAAACTTTTAGGTCAAATCTTATTTTAATTTTAATGTAGACTTATTTATATGAAACGAAACGAAAAGTAATAAAATTTCAGTAAAATGGTGGTCATTTATTGAGACTTTTGCAGTGGACTTTTTGGAGGATCCCGAGAAGTTACTTTCAGCGGCTTTGTTTCATTTTCCCACATTTGTGCACTTTCACAGATACTAAACAGTCAATATGCCATCGTTATTATGCATTTAAGCCTGAACTACACACTAAATAGAACGCACTAAATAGACAAATTAAAACAAATCACACTTCACTCCTCGCGTTCCCGCTAAAAAGTCACATCCATTGAACGGGCAAAAAAAAAACATAGACTATCTTCAACCTTCAACCTTCTGATGAAAAAGGCAGAAGCCACATCTGTTGGATGAAAAGTAAATTTACTGAATGAAATTATTTAGTTAAGTTGAAATTGAAAGAAATGATAAGATATAAAAAAGCACGATAGCATCGTTTTATCGAGGTGGAACTGTTTTCACTTCGATAAAGCGGCACGACACGAGAACCCTCTCATCGTGGCCACCGGTAACTACATTCCCGATCCTGCGGAAAGAATGGAAAATGGTCGACGTCGCCCCAAACACGTCATCTCGGATCCTCCCGATCCACTAACGGTGCTTTGTACTTCAAGCACCGGTCACCGCTCTCGTCGAACCCGTCGCTTGCGACGAAGGACTCGACGAGTAAATTAACCCTCAGACACAGCCCACTGAGTTTCTCGCCGGATCTTCTCAGTGGGTCGCGTTTCCGATCCGGTGGTAGATTCTGCGAAGCACGGCTCTTGCTAGGGTTCGTGCTAACAACTTCGTCAGGTTTGAGCCCCGTGAGCTCACCTACTAGTTAAGGTTCCGCTGATATAGCCTCTCAAGGCTATCAGCTTAGGTAGGAAAAAAAAAGGAACTTTTTTATTTTACTGAGAACTTAATGGACTTACGAATTATGAAAAACCTAAGACTCTACTGAATCGGTTAATTGTTTTGTTACTATATACTTATTTGTACACCTTAAAACATAAATAAAGAGTCACAATTGTTCCCAGCCATTCAAATACATCGTAATTAACATATTATTGTAAATAAGTAATTCACAAAAATTCAGTGATATATAAACATTTCCAAGAAATGGTTTTACAAATAGGTATTTATGTTTTTATTAAATTTATACTAATATTACAAAGCTCAAACGTTTGTTTGTTTGTTTGAACGCACTAATCTCAGGAACTACTGGCCCGATTTGAAAAATTCTGTCAATGTCAGATAGACTGATGTATAACTCATTTATTGAAGAAGGCTATAAGCTCTATAACATCAGAATAATTCCTCTTTAAAAAATTCCGCGACAGCATCTATCTAATATATAAAATTCTCGTGTCACGGTGTGCGTGATTGAAGCCCTCCGAAACGGCTCAACCGATTTTCGTGAATCTTAGCGTGCATATCGGCCAGGGTAGAGAATCGGACAACATCTATTTTTCATCCCCCTAAATGTTAAGGGTGGTCCACCGCAAAAATTTTTTTAGAAAATTTTTTTTTTTAGCATATAAAAATACATACGACCCTAAATTTTCACCCCTCTACAATCAACTCCTATTTTGTATTTGTTAATTTGTTAATTATAAACTAATTTTTTGGCATGATTTTTATTTTTATTTTGTCATGAATTTAAATAAAAAATCTGATGTTAATCTAAATTTTTCATCCCTCTATGATCGAGCCCTATTTTTTATTTGTTAATTATAAACTTTAATTTTTTTGGCAAGATTTTTTTATCTTGTCATGACACAATAAAAAAATTCATATTACTCTCAATTTTCACTCTTATACGACAACCCTTATTTTTCCATCCCGATTTTAATTTATTTTATTCTATGCACAGGTTGCAAGATGGCAATCAAATATTATAATTGTATTACGATAAATTCTTATTCAGAGTTTATAATTTCAAGTTCCTATATTTATGTTTTTTTTTAAATTCAATTTGATCTCTCGCCCTCGCCGGTCGACTATCTATTTTTCATACCCCTAAGTGATAAGGGTTGTCCACCCCAAACATTTCACTGGTGCTACCACCAGTGAAATGTTCTATGGTCCTACGACCTCTTGTGAGTCCGCACGGGTAGGTACCACCGCCCTGCCTATTTCTGCCGTGAAGCAGTAATGCGTTTCGGTTTGAAGGGTGGGGTAGCCGTTGTAACTATACTGAGACCTTAGAACTTATATCTCAAGGTGGATGGCGCATTTACGTTGTAGATGTCTATGGGCTCCAGTAACCACTTAACACCAGGTGGGCTGTGAGCTCGTCCACCCATCTAAGNAGTCCGCACGGGTAGGTACCACCGCCCTGCCTATTTCTGCCGTGAAGCAGTAATGCGTTTCGGTTTGAAGGGTGGGGTAGCCGTTGTAACTATACTGAGACCTTAGAACTTATATCTCAAGGTGGATGGCGCATTTACGTTGTAGATGTCTATGGGCTCCAGTAACCACTTAACACCAGGTGGGCTGTGAGCTCGTCCACCCATCTAAGCAATAAATAAAAAAAATATTTTTATTTGTTGGATTTTTTTTTTTGTTATAATGAGGTATTATATGGTTGAATGAGGTTTTTTTTCTACACTAGAATTTCTCTAAGAATCTTATATAAGGCAACACAACGTTTGCCGGGTCAGCTAGTATGTCTATATTTAAAGGTTGGTTCACTATAACGTTTATATGCTAACCAAATTTGTTCTAAAAACCATTATTTGTGAAGGTGTTTTTATTAAGATGTTATTCATTACAACATTGAAACACCCAATCACTTCAAGATAGGCTTTGACAATTATAGATTTTTCTGGATTTCTCCAGGATCCCATCATCAGATCTTGATGATTACAGGACCATTCGGGAAGTCTACTCTTTCGAAAAAAAAAGAAAAAAGAATTATCAGGTTCAAGCATTCTCGAGAAATCGGTGAACATACATATATAAAAAATTATGGTCGAATTGAAAACTTCCTCATTTAAAGTCGGTTAAAAAAAAAGCGTGATTTTGGTACCTTAAATAGCTCCTTAACATTGTATTATTCAAAAATATTTTCACTTACCACGTAAATGAAGAGACGAGTAAAATTTAGCGTTATGCCAAAGTAACTATTCCACCCGAACGAAGTCGCGGGCAAAACTAGTGTATTACATATTTTATCTATGATTTATGTGGTATTGTTGGCTTGTTGGCAGCACTGCTGCCCGACGCGACCGGCAGCCATTCGCCATATTGCGTAGAGATTTGTACCAACATTCATTAGCTGACTTTGCTTTTGTAATTCTTGCTTTCGTCGTGTTACTGTTCGAAATATTTCGTGTTTAATTGCTATTTAATCTAGTCAATAACTCTGATCCGTGATTTCATTTCATATAAATTCTTGTTTGCGTCATTTTCAATCAAAACCCGAACGGATTCCAGTAAAATTGTAAGTTACGACTTTCGATTTAACACTAAATGCTACATGATTAACTAATATTTTATCACATCTATCAGGCCAAGCGCTGAATAGTCATAGTTTGAATGTAGTATTTTTTAGGAAAAAGCTTTAACAAAATACCGTTTCTTCTCTTAGACAAAGATGGCGAACCGCAGACCACAACCGGGACGCCGTACGGACTTCGGTAGAAACGACCGTGGGAAAAACTTTCCACGTAACAATGTGTCCCCGTGGCAGTCCGGAGGCCCGGGGGAGCGGTTACCCAACCTTTTCCCTCTGGCTGGAGGCTCCGCCGAGGCCACGCTGGCTCTTGCCAGTAACCTCCTTAATTTGTTCCAACCGAAGCAGAACCCGGTCCCATCACTCCTAGACATGCCCATTAGAAGGGATTTTGGGCCTAATATGGGTCGGTTTGACCGTGGGTATGAGCCTAATAGGGTGAGTGTGATTTAGTATAGGAAATGTACTTAGCTTTTCTCTTTCAAAGAGTCTGATAGCCGGTAATCAGTACTGTATTCTCATTAAATAAAGACCAGGCTTAAATTGAAATAAGCACATCAAATTGCTTCTTTTAATTAAATATGGTGATCTGTGCAATCAAAATATGGTGAATTATGAATAGACCAAAGTATATTAAACACATTATTTCACTTCAGGCAATTCAATAAATAAACATTAAAATTTAGTCTGCCTAAATTTAACAATAGTAATCGTATTTGATGAATGCATGTGTGTGATTAAAACAAGTTGTGTTTATATATAAATTATAAATTATAAATGTAGGTATTGAAACTGTTTTAACATAATAGACTATTATTAATCTATTTTGTACTGTAAGGCTTTTTACAACATAGGCAAAATTGTTATCCTCATTTAAAAAAAATTACATGAATTATGAGATTTATATTTAAAAAATTTAAGTATCCTATATACTTTGCCTTCTTACTACATTTGAAAAATATATTGGAATCGAACCTTTGTTATTTTGTCTCAGAACAATTGCAATTTTTGAGACTTGAAATTAAGTAGTAACTTAATCCTGTAGAAAATAGAAGTTGTATCTAATTAATTATTATTTTACTAAGGTAACTGGTTTTCATGGTTACAGCAGAACTGAGTGGAACGGTGGGACCAACAAGTCTTGACAAAAAAAGCTGTACTTCTCGAAAGTTGATATCAACATTAATCTTCTTTTAAAATGCTGAAAATGATTCATTCAATGTTAATCTGTGAATTTTTCTAGTTGTTGTCAAACACCATTTTTAATGCAATTAATAAAATTCCCAAAATTCAAATTCAGTTGCCAATATAGACCCTGTGAAAATTTGTGTCAAGTACCTTTTTGGAAAATTGCAGTTCCTCCTCCGGACATGCTAGTCCAAAATTTTTCGAACTAACATAATATTCTAATGAATTCCCTTTAGATGGGCAATCATGGTAATTTCCGGCGTACGGGAAATTACAATCGCGCTGGTGAGCGTATCAACATGAATCGTAAACCGTTCAGGCCCAATGAAGGGCAACGACAGCATAACAAGAACTCCCCGAAAAAGGAAACCGATTCTAAAGCTAAGCCTGTTAAGGAGAGGTAAGGATTTCCTCCTGGTGGTCACACCTATCTTCTGAGCCTCATTGGGCTACACTTCACATAGTTCCGTTCACCAGCTGATTAATTTTTATTTAGCCAATTGGTGACTGTCTTTGGGATAGTTTTCTTGGCATTTCATTGTTTCTCAATATTGAAACTTTCAATTATATTTCAAAAGACCGTCGTCTTTGTTGACAGGTTGTCTGTCTGTATTGTCCAGTAATTGGGCCATTTGTATGTTTGCGAAAAATTGTTCCTGACTAAATAAATAATTTAAACATGATTGGAGTCTTCGAGCATTTTTGTGCCTTTTGGTATAAAAATGTGCACTTAAATTGTGTTTAATATTGATTTTATACAGTTGCAATGCTTAGAAACATCTAAAATAGAGATCTTTTCAATCATCAGCAATTTCTGAATTATATTTGAGTCATAAATCTTCCCATTAAAAATGTATTAAAAGCTTAGCTCCTAATCATACTCACTGAATCAAATTGTGGTGTGATAAGTGCAGAAGTGACAACATAAAATTATATAGTGAATGTTTTCATGCATTCACAAACTTAGTTATTCACAGTGAACAAGAAGAGAAGACTACTGAGACTGACAAACCTGAAAATGAGAGAAAAGAGCCGGAAGAGAATGAAAAGCAAGATGTCCCTAAAACGCGCTATGATGACATCAACTCAAAGCTGCTGAAATGTCACATCTGCCACAAGAGCATGTGGGATGGACGTTCATTTGAGAATCATCTCAGTGGAAGAGCTCATGCCATTATGATGCAAAAGACTGTTGAGAGCTATGCTCTTACTGCTGATACCATGAGACAAGAATATAAGGTTAGAATGTATATCTATACATACATACATACATATAAATAAAATTCTAGTGTCTTTTTGTTCCGGCTGATCTCTGGAACGGCTTGACCAATTTTGACGGGACTTTCACTGATAGGTAGCTGATGATATAAGGAGTAACATGGGCTACCTTTTTTAAACTAGTTTCGTCTCGCGGCGTCACCCGCGTTACGACAATAACCGCTAGTAACATCACAGGACTCAGCTAGTTTATTAATAGATTAGCTAAAATGATCTCATTTAACACAATCTGAAGCAGGTACAGGTGCAACATTCTGGTGTGAATACTGCATTTCAGTTAGATATAAATTTTGTGTAAACTTTTTATTCTTGTCTAGTGGAAAGGCCTATCCAGTGAAGAAATAAATTAACATAGTGCAAAGAGTTGTATGTACCTCAGAAATACAGAGAGAATAACATTCTGATCAAGAATTTTTTAGTGTTAATTATAGTTATAATTATTCAAATTTATTATATTTTAATGAGACTAATCTAACTGCTACTTTAATAGATTCGCGAAATGAAACGCACCCGCAAATCTGGTCAGCAACCAGCTAGAGACTTCTACTGTGCTATGTGTGATATGTATGCGGCCAACGGAGCAGCTCACCGGACTACCGTTGGACACCGGAAGCTTAAGAAATACCTACATCCCTTCTGTAATACTTGCCACAAGGAGTTGCCAACTAGAATTGAATTAGATGAACACCGTCTCACTGCTGAACATTTGCGTGCAATTCAGGATAAACAAGATGTACTTTCAAAGCCCAAGCCTGAAAGTAAGTACTATACCATATCAATATTTTTGACTTTTTTGATTTATAGATTTATACAGTATTTATACCACTAAGCAATCCCAAATTTCATTTGGTGCAGAAGATAGTATTCTAAATCAAAAACAATTTGTTTTTTTCTGCAAATGGGTTGGAACTAATCCTAAATTTCATTTGTTAGTGTTGATGATTTCAACTTTGGGCATGGAGCAGTCATACCTGTGTGAGCGTCGTCAGCGTAGACCACGCAGGGATGATGTTCAAGAAGAGAAGCATGATGATAATGATAAAACTGATGAACAGGTAATTAAAAATATATTTGTGTATTGGTAGTATTGTGAAATCGTCGTAGCCTAAAGGATAAGACGTCCGACGTGTTCGTGTTGAGCGATGCACCAGTGTTCGAATCCCCGGAGGACGGTACCATTTTTTCTAATGAAATACGTACTCAACAAATGTTCACGATTGACTTCCACGGTGAATCTTGTAATAAAAATGAAACCCGCAAAATTATAATTTGCGTAATTACTGGCGGTAGGACCTCTTGTGAGTCTGCGCGGGTAGGTACCACCACCCCACCTATTTCTGCCGTGAAGTAGTAATGCGTTTGAAAAGTGGAGTAGCCGTTGTAACTATACTAAGACCTTGGAACTGATATCTCAAGGTGGGTCGCGCATTTACGTCGTAGATGTCTATGGGCTCCAGTAACCACTTAACACCAGGTGGGCTGTGAGCTCGTCCACCTATCTAAGCAATAAAAAAAAATCCAAAGGTTCCAATTCTAATCAAAGTGACATCCAGGCTGAAGATATTATGTTTTATAGCAAACTGACACTGAAAACAAAGAAAAGATTGAAAATGAAGATCAAGAGATGAAAGATGTGAGTGAGAAGGCTGATAGTAAACCTGTTGATGATGAAAAGGTCATCCTGGACTTCAAAGAAGATGATGATCTCAGCTATGTCACTCAGGATATGTTCCCAAGTTACAGGTAAAATTCATAAAAACAATTATATTTCCATTTTTGTACATATTATTATGTCATAAACAATCTCAGAACATTTCACAACATCTACCGTCTCTACATACAAATACATGTCACATGATCCACTATGGGTGCTTCTCCTGGCATTCCAAGTACAAATCATTATTCTTGTCGAACTTCTAAAATGTGACAAAGGGTTTCAGTGAATAAATTAACTCTCAAATAACAAATATATGATTAAGGGTGTTTATTAGCAAATGAAATATAAAGATAAATACATTTTTAAAATGTTTTTCTGTACATGATTCTAGGACACTGTAGGTGTAAAATATGAATTGCAAAGCTTTAAACTATTGTTATCACTTCCAGTACGGAACGTGGTGTTGGTCAATCGTTCTTGACTGAGTTCCGCTGCATACAATGCAAGCTGTGCAAGAAACTCCTCGATTCGCAGGAAACTGCTGATGTGCACTTGAGAACCTGGAGACATCACGTTTTCTTCCTGAAGATGCTTTCTGAGAAGACTGGACACAAACCAGCGGTATGTTATTACTCTTATCTAAAGTATATCATAAATGGTTTAATATGTATAATTAATTGATGGTTTTTTCGCGTTAAGAATGCAGTGAGTCATCATTTTTCGCCGGTCTAGCCCTGCCCCTAAGCAATCAACTTTTTTCATATTACAAGGTTAAGTTCACAGTGACCAGTTGAAAGCATAGCTTCGAACGCGATGTGTCCTGTACTTATGTTAACTAATTATGTTTTAAAAAAATGAATACCTCACCAATTCGTAGAAATAAGTGGTTCGGTAATTCATAATAGAGAGAAAGTAATTTACAATGTTTTTAAGTATTTTAAACAGTCTTAATTTAAATGACATATGGCACTGAAACATGAGCGTTGACTGTAGGTCTGGTCTGTAAATTCAAAGTCTCTCAGCGTGCTATGGAAAGGTGTAGTTTCGGAGTTTCTTTCATGAATCGGAAATCCGTCACAGAACCAAAGTAACCGACATAGCCCTAAGGATTAGCAAGCTGAAATAGCAATGGGCTGGACATACGTGTCACAGAACTGATGGCCGATTGAACAGATGTGTTCTGGACCGGAGACCACGTACTGGTAAGCCAGCGTTGGGCGTCTCCTTGCCCTTGGACCGATGACTTGCGGCGATATGCTGGGTGAGATTGGATGCGGAAGGCGGAGGATCGTTCTTGTGGCGGACTATGGGAGAGGCCTACATCCAGCAGTGGAGAGATACAGGCTGATGATGATGATTTAAATGTGACTGGACAACATAGTACAAAAAACGGCAAATGCATGGGGTGTGTCCGAGAGAACAGTATATAGTATTCTTAGTGAAAAAAAGGAAGAAAGATAGAAATACGTTGAAATCGCCAGTGAAAAAAAAGGCAAGGAATTCTATGATTGATAAATTTGATGAATTAGAAAAATGTTCTATAAGGAAAAAAGTACACTCAATATATTTCAATAATGACTACCCATAAATTTATGACAATTTGTGAATCTGATGAAGATATTCCAACGTTTAAACGTATGCACCACACTTCACAAAATAATGCATGATCTGGGATTTGACTTTAATAAACAGGATAATAGAACATTGTTTTGTGGCGGCGTAAATGTCTCAGGCAAATAAAACAACACAGAAAAGCAAACGAAACCATATACTTTCGTGATGAAACGTGAGTAAACACAGGACATGCTTATCAAGACAGCTTATGTATTGGTCCAAGCGTTCTAGTTGAAAGGGAAAAAAAAGGTTCATTATTTTACACATTGGTAGTGACAAAGGATTTGTGGAAGGTGGTCTATTAGTTTTTGAGTCAAAACCAAAGATTATCATGAAGAGATGGTTGGTGACAGGTTCCTTGAGTGGTTCAAAAACATAATTTATTAGTTAATACCAGGGAGCGTTGTTGTCACGGACAACATTCTGTCAAACTCGAGAAAATACCGACGTCCGCTTGGAACAAACACAAAATAATAGACTGGCTAAAAAGCAAAGGGATATTCATGGACATGAGTTAATTAAGAAATGAATTCTTAAAGAAAGCCGCCAAAATAACCCCAATATGATAAATATTTAATTGATGAAATGGCTAAGAGTAAACAGCATTTAAATTCTCCATTTACCTCCTTACCACTGCAAACTGAACCCCATTGAGTTGATGTGGGCTCTAATAAAAAATTATATTGCTGCCAACAATACAACTTTTAAGATGAGTGATGTGAAAAAAATATTTATTTTTAAGTGTATTTTTTAAATTTATAAAACTTCATCTTTAATAATATACTTTGAATTTTAACACCGCTGTGAATACACATTTACCCTGCAGTTGCACTGATCACTCACTGCATTCTTAACACGAATAGTGACCTTATAATTTTCAATATCGTTCAATACTTTATTCTTAATGATCTGTACTAAGTGATAAAACTTATTATAAGAGAAAATATGTACCTTTTATTATTATAGAAGTCTTGTATACGCAACAATAGATAATTATGTTATAACAAGGTGGGTGGCGCGTCTACGTCTTAGATGTCTATGGGCTCCAGTAACCACTTAATACCAGGTGGGCGGTGAGCTCGTCCATCCATCAAAAAAAAAAAAAACACCAAACAATGTAAAAATTTAATTTCCATTTCTTAGGGACCTCAATCCACTGAGAATTCAAATGGGAAACGTCCTTCTGAACGCAACGATCAATCTGGTAACTGGAAGAGACGCAAGACATCCTCCGATCATGAAGGACAAGATTATGAAAATGATAATGACAACGACAATGACAATGACAATGAACATGCTAATGGTACGTATCAAATAACTGGAACTTAATAGCTTATTTGAAAATAATTGTATACCACTAAAGAAGATCAGATGAACAATGAGTGTGAAACTATGCCATCCATCTTCATCCATTCCATGATATGAGATCAAAGTATAGTATAATATTATGGCACTTATGCCTCTGAACTGATTTATGATATGAGTTCTGCAGATTCATGTTGCATTGTATGAGTTTGAAAAATATGAGATATCTGTTTCGACAAAGTGTTTTTTTTTTACTGAAGATGAAAGTAAATTATGTATTTATTTTGCAGAATATACAGACACAAACCGCGATGAACAATTTGATGACGGTATTCCAAATAATGATGATCTTGAAGATTGGGAACAGTCTGTTGATGAAATACTGGAAGATGAGAAGAAAGCCCAAGAAGGTAAAAGCTTTTTTTAATTTTCTAAAGTAGTATTGTGGCGTGAATTGAATGTATTACGAATTGGTTAATGGATAATCGTTATTGATGCTCAAACCTTTCTTGCATTCTTGTATTTAAGCAATAACTGACTGTGCCTATCTCCTAAACTGGAACATGTGGAAAATTAATGTCTAAAATGGTTTGGCTATATTTCTGTAGCGTGATCAGGATGATGCTTTAGATGTTTATTCTATATGCTATTCTCTATATTCTAATATATACTTCATATTAGTTTATAATTAGATTTAAAACTTGTATATACTTTATCTTGCTACAATGATGGAACTATACAGCGATGTAAGAATGAAATTACATTATCACATCAAAAGATCTACCTTTGTAAGGTGAGCTCCCATTTTAAGTACATCTACTTTATTTAATCCAAATTGAATACAGAGCGAGCCATAGAACGAATCTAGTTACTGGTGGAAGGACCTCTTGTGAGTCCGCGCGGGTAGGTACCACCGCCCTGCCTATTTCTGCCGTGAAGCAATAATGCGTTTCGGTTTGAAGGGCGGGGCAACCGTTGTAACTACACTGAGATCTTAGAACTTATATCTCAAGGTGGGTGGCGCATTTACGTTGTAGATGTCCATGGGCTCCAGTAACCACTTAACATCAGGTGGGCTGTGAGCTCGTCCACCCATCTAAGCAATAAAAAAAAAATGAAATTTTTATTTTATAGAACTTGGTGAACCAGATATAAAACCCAAAATAGAACCTGAAGTGACAGCCGAAATCGAGGATCCAGTAGAAGAGAAGCCTGAAGTAGCGGAAGTAATTGAACAGCCCCCAGAAAAAGAAAAAAGTCCTCAATTAGCTCTACCCGTGCCAGATGTGAAACCGAAACCCTCACCGAGAGCTAGAGCACGCGGTAGAGGCAGGGGCCGTGGCAGATATTAGAACAAGTGTATGTTGTCCCAGAACTTGCTAGTTACAGGCAACTAAAATTACTGCTTTGGATAAAAATATTTACTATGCAAGCGAAATAAGGACAGGATTGACTTTCTACCAAATTAATTATCCAAAATAATATCTGTAAATAATCTATAAATAAAATCCTATGTTGATGAATTATGGAAATCACAAAAAAATCTCATTGAAATTGTGTTCCACCGGCAAATCCTATTCTTATTTTGATTACATTTTATTTACATTACTGTATTGTGGTAAACTTTTCGCTCATGCAAGTTTCACCAACTATCTAATCTAATGTCTAATAACATACACAAAATATTTATATTGTGATGTGAAGGTTTCTGTTTGTCTCCTAAAAGATTTAAGAGTACTAAACTAAATGGAATGAGAGTTTCAAAAGATTTAACTTAAAAAGACAGCTGTAAGTTACAGGACATAATGTATTCCTTGCATGTGTTATTTAAGTATGAAAATTCTCAATATTTAAATAATTATAATTTCAATATCTTTGCATGTAATAATGGAAATCAAATTGATTTTTACTTTTACTCTTTGTTTTAAGTTACTTACTTTAAAATTCGACCAACAAAGAAACATAGCCACTGTCAAGTAAAATTAAATCAATTTTATCGCCTTTATTACGTTACATAATATTAATCCAAGTTACTCCATTAGTAATTAGATAAAATCATTTTTTTACTTACTTATTTTTAGCGTTTTATCACTTGATTGAATTGAGAATGTTAGATCTCAGTCAATTGATATTTATAACATAAAATTATATTAGAAGTTGTTTAAGCATATTACACCAACTAAAATGATAGTGAACCATCTAAAACAGCTTCAAAATATCAATAAAATTTCAAGTAAGAGTACCCCATAGATTGGAGGGAATAAGGACTCTGGGTAGAATAAAGACAAATCTGAGATTTTCTTTACAGGCATAGTGAGCATTAATGTTGTGTTGAACTGAATGGTCCAATTTTAATTTGAAGCTTGCAATATTTTTTCTATAATTTAGCAAAACTCCGTCATCTTATCACTGTCAATTTAATAAAAAAACGATCATTTGTCAATAGGATCGGAAAGCTCTATAATGTCGTCTTCAAAACGATTTAATTATCTTGACTATTTGAAATTTGTGTGAAGCGAAGTTTGGATCTATTCAGATAAATAGTTTGTACCTACCTAAACAACTAAACAGTACCAGTACTCACCAGCCCTATTGAAAAACTATTGTCTCCATATGTGGCATGATAGTTTTATTTTATTTTTATGTATATTTTGCAATGAACTATATATAATAATGCATTGTATATGAAAATTTAAACTTCCGGAACCATTTTAATCTCAATTTTATTGGTATTACCCTAAGAAAAACTGCTGAAAATTTGTTTTGGAAATGGAAAGTGTCCCAATCTATGGTACTAAAATATAAGTAACAGTCTTGTGTAATAGTTTTATAAGAAATATGAGAAGAATAGTTCTGCCAAAATTAAAATGTACACCTTTTTCATATGGCTCACTACCACTTAAAGTGTGATGTATTAAATATAGTCTAGTTATGTAGTGATTTTTATTATTGTGCTTAAAAGATTGATAATGAAGTGAACGAAATTACGATAAATATTGAATTATGAATAGTACCGTACCTGTTTCTAAATAACCATTTTTTATCAATAGTGCCTTTGGGATAATTTGTGTATAAACTCCATAATAAAAAAAATTTAGAAGCATCAACCTTAATACCATACTTTTGTTGCACAATAATTGGAAGTTCTTCAGAGAACTTAAAGATGTTACTTCATAAACAATCTATTTCTAGGTTAGCTTTTAGCTTATCTATTAAACAGTTTAAACTGTTTCGAAAGCCCTGGTATTAGGACTATAACCTTTGTATTCTGACATATTGGTAAATTAGTATATAGCTTGATAATACAAGTACAGTTGGCCAAATAAGGTAGTTGCATAACTGTATTCACAGGTAGGGCCTTTCTATTTTATATGTTAGTACGTCCTTATGGCAGAATAATTTGTCTTAGCTGTAGATATTTCTTTTTTTCTTTTTTCTATTGCATATTCATTAAACCTTAATTGTTGTGCTATTGTATTTTGAGATTATTTGTAATGAATCCCTTATATTCTTACTTATAGCTTAAATAAAGCAGTGGTACAAATCATTATTTTTTATTCTTAAAATAATATCTCTACAGTTGAAGTATTGTTGCACTTGCAACACAACAGAAAATAATATTAATTTGCTAAACTAAACTCAAATCTCGAATGAAACATGTCTGATTTACTTCTAGTAAAAAGAGCATTCTGGGATTTGCGTGTAGTTTGTATTATTTTTAAGCAATTAGCCAGTATGAGGGTCCTATTCAGATACTAAATCTGAAAAAAAACTAGAACATTTACACTACAGACCTTTTGCTACAAATATAATTAATTTTGAAACCAACAGTCAATTATTACATGTGCCACTGTAATTCAATAAGCTCATGATATTACAATGTGAACACATTTTTAGACTATGACCACTGGCAATTACTAATTAAAATGAACCATGTATATTTTGATATTATTGTATGTTTATATTCATAATAGTCATGTCTTTGGCAGCGTATATTCGTAATCATAGGTTAAATTATTCTGAAACCACTAGTTTTAGTCATCCCAAAGACATACAGTGTATGTCTAAAACGTTTAAGACTACACATCCTTAATCTAGACTTTGTCTCTCAAGTTTAACGCTAGGAATAACATGATTAAATTTAACCATTTTCTTAAGTTAGCTGCACAAGCAATAATTGTTTAACCTACTTTTTGAAATGCATAAGCAAAACAAATTACTAATATTATGTAATAAATAAAGTTGACACTTAATTTTTATAATATGGTTATAACATGATTCCCAATATCAATTTTTTTTTTTATTGCTTATATGGGTGGACAAGCTCACAGCCCACCTGGTGTTAAGTGGTTACTGGAGCCCATAGACATCCACAACATAAATGCGCCACCCACCTTGAGATATAAGTTCTAAGGTCTCAAGTAAGTTACAATTATAAATAATGCTACATAGTATGTTTAAGTTTATTCAATAAATAAATTAAATTTATCTTGCGGTTTTTCTTAAGCGTCCCCCTATCCTTCAGCAGTAGAGGGACAAAGATCTACTTAGGGGTATCTGTCTGTAGGTTGTTCAAATTAAAAGAGAAATGAATTTCAGTATTGATTTATAACTAACCACCCATGCTTTGAGTTATTGTCAAAACCTTTTAATATGTCTATAGTTCCATCCACAGGGTGTACATAGTTTATTCTGGTCTTGTCTGCAAGCTGATATACAATTGAAATAAGATTTTTATATTTTACATACCTGGTCAGCCATTGACTATGTATAATAGTGATATATTATGTGGTACCAAAGTAATGACTATAATCTTATAATAATTTCTGGATTTGTTATCTGTATTTTATCACAAACAAAAAACCAATTGACTAGTGATTTTTCAATTACAGGCATGATGTTGAGCCAATTAATTTATATGAAAGGCTTGCACAGTTGATTCTCATGACTTGATGCCAAAAATAGCAGATTCAAAAGTCGCTTATATTCATGTTAATGTGAATTAATAAAAGTAAAATATGTTCCAGAACTGTTGGAGTACTAATAAATATCACTCATGGACAAACTCGTCATAGAATGCAAAGTTACAATTATTATTTAATAGGACTTACGGTTTGTGGTCAACATGCAAAATGACAACTGGAGAAATTATAACTTATTATAAAATTGGTTAAAAATAGGTTGAGAAGCTTCCGTGCTTGTTAAAGAATTAACTGAATCAAAGCTTTATTTAAAAAACTATAAATAGGAAGTGTTGAATAATGAACGACATTATCTAGACAATATGTTTATTAAGAATTCCATAGTACAAAAACATTTTTATTTTATATTTTACGTACAGTTAAATTATTGCTTAATAAGTAACTGATCAACACTATTTCTTTTTCATTAGACTTAGCAATAATTTTGTATCATTGATTTGTGTTTTTTGGCGCTTTTTCTGTTTTTCAACAGGTTTTAATTTTTTCTTCGTCACGTTTTCTTCCTTAGGTTTTTTATTTTTATCTGTCTTACTCAGTTCATTCGTTAGCAAATCTTTAAAACTTAACTTTTTAACTAAACTGTTGTTTTCGGAAGCGACTTCTTTAAGTAAAACTTCCTTTTGAAACGAAACCTTTTTTTCAGCGTTGATTTTCTTTTTCAATATTTTGTTGTTAAGCGCAACAGACTCGCTCTGTCTCTTGGTTAGCTTGTTGAGAGCTTTGAATTTGTTTTTACCGAATTTTACCATTTTGTACCATAAAATTACGTGTGTTAATAACGATGTAAAATGCTCAAAACAAAACAAATACTACTTAAACTACGTGTTTAAACTATTTAAAATCCAAATTCCAATACCACCACCGCATGTTTCAATTGGTACGCACAATACGTCAATGATTTCGATCTGTCAATGTCATTTTTATTTTATGACCTGGTAACGGGACCTTTAAACCAAGACCTTATATTCTGTTATAAAATAATAATATTTATTAATATGGGATTGTGGAGTGTCAATAATAAAAAATAATAAGGTGGGTGGACAAACTCACGACTCACCTGGTGCTAGGTGGTTACTAAGAGTTTTAAGGTTTCAGTTTTTACAGTCCAACCACAATCCCTTCAAATCTATATTTTTTCCTACCTGTTCTAGTAACCTCGAGGGGTTATTCTAGATTCATCGAGCTAGTAGGTGAGCTCACGGGGCGCAAACCTAACGACGTTGCTAACACGAACCCTAGCAAGAGCCGTGCTTCGCATAATCTACCACCGGATCGGAAACGCGACCCACTGAGAAGATCCGGCGAGAAACTCAAAGAACTGTGTCTGTGGGTTAATTTACTCGCCGAGCCCTTCGTCGCAAGCGACAGGTTCGACCATAACGATACCGGTGTTTGAGGTACCTAAAAGCACCGTTAGTGGATCGGAAGGATCCGAAATGACGTGTTTTGGGTGACGTCGACTGTTTAACATTTGCTATGTACTTCTCGGCGACCACGATGAGAGGATTCTCGTGTCATGCTGCTTTTTCGAAGTGGTGCATTGATGCCGACTGTAGATACTTACTGATGGACTCAAAGTCCAGGTCGTCGTGCAGGTCGATGTTCCTGACGAACCACGGGGTTCCGACGGCTATCCTGCAAAAACGGGATTGAATGACTTGTAGTGATTTTAAGTTGGGGTGGGCCGCGTGAGCGAACACTATACTTGCATAAGTCATGACAGGGCGTATGCAAGTTTTGTAGAATGTCACCTTATTTCTAAGGGACAGTTTACTTCGCTTGCAAATCATCGGATAGATTAAAATCTAAACGCTACATTACGGCTTCACGACAGGAATAGGCAAGGTGATGGTATCTTTTACTGTTTTTGTCGTTCACAAATGTAGTTATCTGTGGACCACAAAATAGCAGAAAATAAAACATTTACTTTATTCCATCAATAATTTATTTATTGTCACATAGTCTCCTTAAGTCATTGTAGAACGCTTAATAGAAACACTGACACAATTCAATAACATGAATTAAATACCGATCACACAAAGAGAACGCGAATACCAGCAAAATATCTGACTTGCTTAAATTAAAATGTGAAATAATACGCAGGCAACATTCACATTAAAATTTACTTGGCTAAAAGATTACGTCGAAGCGTTAATTTTAAATAATGTACTGCGTTCTTCAAGATGTCTTACAAGATAAGCAATTTAATACGTTTTTATTATAGATTTAAATGTTACAAAACATCTATACTATTCATCATCGTCAGCCCACAGACGTCCTGTGCTGGACATTGACCTCCCACAAGGTTCACCATAGTGACAGGTCCTGCGCATCCAGCAGATTCTGGCGTCCTTTACCATGTCGTTCATCACGTGGGAGGCCTACCCACAACGTTCTCCGAGTAGTATTACAGCATACTGTCATCGCCAACCCCAAGCGTGGCGGTTATGACAACTAACACGTCTGACTCTATTGTCGATTCTCTATTGATAGCCAGGAACTAAAACACGTCTACTACGATAAGAAACAGCTTATGCCAGCGCTATTTCGAACAAGCCTTTTTCGGAAAATTGCGAAATTATTTCTGAAGAGTTGATCTTAAGTGGATGAGTGAATTAAAAATGGATTTTAGGCTCACAAACGAGAAATGGTAATCAGGAGATTTTTTAAGAACATCTCTATTACATTGGGGTACAGTGTATTATTAAATATCCCCTATTCGATCATCATCTACATTTGCATTAGCGGTACCCGGTCTGACAATACCCGAACGCAGTCTGTGTCTGAACAGTTTATTTTAAGACCCGCAAACATGTCAGAAGCTTGACGGATCGTACATTACCTAAGTCTCGTGTTAGAAAAGTATATTATATTTACGGGATCAATGTTCATTTACCGAATATATTCAACCAGGATTTAAATAAACACGTTCAGTGTTGTAAGACTAATTAACATAATTTTAAAATGATTTCAACACTTTCGAGTTTTGCGGATCAAAACAAAGAGAAAAGTTACGCAAAAAATCTGTTTGTATTTCCATTTGAATTTAGCAATTTACTGGCTGACCTTATCTGTGTTTCTACAAAACGGAATGTCAGTACGCTATTCGCAATATTTACAACAACAAAAAAGATAAATAATAAATCGTTGATATCATATCAATCACAGCATCATGCTTAGTTTAAAAAAATAACCTTAATTTAGGTTGTACTAATTTGAGAAAAGATAACCTTTATAAACTATGGAGAATAGAATTGTGGAGATCATCTCCGAAAAAGCGACTAATTAGTAATTTAAGTTGGTGCCATTGTGGCGAGTGTAACTTCAAAGTTGGCGCCAAAAGGTTTTTTTTTTTCAACTCTGCACAAGTCTCTTTCTATACAACTGCCACGTTTTTAACATAACGCTTTCACTAGCGCTCTGTTGTGGATTTTAGAGTTGCAATTTTTTGTTCGCACCTGAACATTTTTTAGACAGAAGAACTGCGTTATAAGAGGCGAGCCCTATAAGACAGTTCTTCTTTGTTGTGAAAGCGAATGTCAGCCAAGTCGAATGTAAGAATTCT